CGCCCCCGTCTTCTGTGGGCTCAGTTCACTGCCCTCCCCACCGCGCCCCCGCCCTCCTCCCTCCGCCTCCTCCCTCCCCCCTCGCACCCCCCCATGAAGTGCTGAGGGCAAATCTGATCGTACCCGTGGCGCTAAGGCCCTAGAGTCACGCGCCTCATCTGGAGACGCTGTGCCGTCTGGCCTGTCCTCTGAAGCCCTGTGCTGTGTCTTCCTCCCCAGGTTTAGCCTGCGTCTGTCTGTCTGTCCGCTCTGCCTTCTGCCCTGCTGATTCCCGCCCACCTCCTGGCTGCCCCTCTGATGCATCTGGACGGTGCCCCCTCCCTCACCAGCGTGGTGGCTGCCCGTGGCAGGAGCACCCCTCCCTGCCGGCCCAACTTGGAGGCACTGGGGAGCCGCCCGCCGTCCACTGCGCGGGGCCCCGCCGGCCCGCCCCGGTGCTCCCCTTTGCAGCAGCCCGGCAGGTCCGGTGCAGTGCCTACGGGCGGGGAAGGGGCAGTCCCTGCCGGCGGTGGCCAGGCCCAGACAGGCCCTCGGCTCAAGGAACAGCAGCCATGGCCCAGGACTCGCCGCCATCCTGTGTGCCCGCCACCCGGCGGCCACCTTGGCGGGCCCTTGTCCCCGCGGCACCCCACGCGTATCAAGAGTCAACAGTCCTGCGGCGGTCAGGAGCCTGCGCCCGGGGCGGGGGGCGGGGGGTGGCAGCACCTGCCGCCTTATCAGTGGCCGGTCTGGAGGGCTGGGGGTCACCTTCAGGCTGAAGGTCGCGAGGTGGATGCCCTGGGACGCCCGTGGTGGCCCCTGCTGTGGGCCCAGCTGAGGTGGCCGCACACTGGGCCGCCCTCCACCCCCGCCTGCCACTCCGCTCGCCCTCCCGCGCCCTTCATGTGCTGCAAACGGAAGACTAACTCCCAGGACTCTCGGGAGCAGCTTTCAGCCCCTCGGAGTGGAGTGGGGCGGGGCGACGGTCCTGGTCAACACCAGCACCCCCAGGCCGCTCCAGACACCCTCCTTCTCTCTCACTGCTCCTCTTGGGGCCCCGACCTGACCAGGCCCTGGGCCTCCGCCTGCCCCTGGGGCCTCCGCCGGCTGCCTGGTTTCCCGCCAGGTTGGGGCGCGTCTGCCGGCCGTGTGGGCCTCAGGGAAGCCGCGTGGGCGCCCATGGGGTCTGTTGCCCATGCTGGGGCAGGCACGTGCGGGGGAGGAGAGGCGGACTCCGAGGCCTTTTAGAGCCGCATGGCCAGCGAGTGTGCACCTCACCCTCGGGGGGCCCCTCGTGCCCCTTCCCGCGCAGGCTGGGGCTTGCCGGGCATCAGCCTCGGACACAGGGAGACGCCCGGGAGGGGCTCCCCGGAGTCCCAGCCTTGGCGCTTCCTCACGCCCGGCCTTGCCACGACCTGGTTGGAAAACCGGCGACTTCCCGGGGACACCGTCCCCGATTTTCATTTTTAACTTGAAAATGTACCGTGTGCACGAGGCTGTGGGCTGGGGTGTCCCCGCCGCTGCGGGCGGGAGGGGGCGCCGGCGGCCTCGCCCCTGCCCCTCCCCGCTTGGGAGTCCACCCTGTGTGGCCTCCCCACACCTCTGCCCGCCCGCAGCAGGAGGCTGTGGTCCGTGGGGTATTCCTGGGGGACACGCCCAGCAGCATCCCCCCCGCCTGCCCGCGAGGGGCACATGTGCGCCGTCCTCAGGTGGTGCGGCCAGTGTGACCCACGTGACCTGCAGGGGCTGGGCCAGGCCCGGGCTGGGGCCAGCCCTGCATGCTGCGCAGCCGGTCCTGTGCTGACCCACTTGTCCCGCACCTGCAGGCCGTGCCGGCACCGGCCTCGGGAGCCTCGGCCTAGTTCTCGCGTCAGGAGGGTTAATTGTGGGCGCGTTAAAGTAAAACCGGGATCTGCTGAGCTGCCCAACGTGTGGACTCAGCTGACTCTGAGGGGGCCGTGGAGGGTGCCTCTGCCCGGCGCCTCCGGAACCAGCCGCGGGCTCCGGCCTTTGGCCCCGGCCAGGGCTTTGTAATTAGGGCTAAAGCGCGTGTTGCCCTGTCGTTAGCCCCTGCGACCAGCTGCTCTGTGCTTAATTAGCTGTGACCCCGGCCGACTGGCACTCCACTGCCGCTGTCCACAGGTTACTCTGGTGGCGTCCCGGCCGGAGGCCGCAGTCCCTCTGCCTCCCTTGGTGCCCAGTCTGTGCCCAATTGCGGCGTCCTGGCCGGCCGGCAGCAGCTACACCGTCCTGTGTGGGCTTCTCTTGTGGGTGGGTGTTATTGGTGGGACAGCAAGCCCCGCCCTGGGCCTCGGCTCTGGGCACCCTGTGAAGGCGTTGGCACACAGGCGGCCGGACCCTCAGTGCTCTGGACTGTCCTCCCCCCGCCCCATCACCCACAGGTTGGCCTCCGGACCATGAGCCCGGGGTCCACGCCTGTGCTCTGGCCCTGGACCCCGGCACTTGTGGACCTGGCAGAGGAGCCACTAGTGCCTGCGGGGCACCGGTCTCCAGAGGAGGAGATGGAGGCCAGGGCTGGCCACTGCACCGAGTTTTGGTGGCCAAGGCTGTGGCCCCACCTGCAGCCCTGGGTCTGGCAGCAGGGACTTTGGGGGGAGCGGCCCCGGCCCCCAGCTTCCCGCTCTGTCCATACCGCCCTTCAAGCTTCCCCAGAAGGCCAGCTGGCCCCTGGGCCTGCGCCTTGAGGTGGACACACTGCTGGTCCCAGTTGAGCACACTGCAGGTCGGCCGGGGCCTTGGGGCACAGACGCACCAGCTCTGGCAACGCCCACGCTGTGTCCAGTTGCTGGACCGCTCACTAGCAGCCCTTTAGAAGAACCGAGTCTTCAGTTTCGCCAGCTCAGTGCCATTTGCTGCCCAGTGAAGGGTGGACAGAGCGGAGACTCAGCCCCCTGCAGGCCGGCCAGGCCCAGGAGGGACAGACCTCCGCCGCCAGGGCCCGGCTCTGGAGAGGGTGGACGTGCGGGGCGACGTGGCCTCCCCGCACCCGAACCCGAACCCGGCCGGTGGGCAGCGGCCGCGGGGAGCCAGAGCGCGGCCCCTCCGGCTGCCCCTCGCCCGCGCGGCCAGAGGCCGAGGACAGCGGGCGGGAAGCCGGCGGCCTTCATGGGCCGGGGCCCGGGACCCAGAGTGGGCCTCGGCGGCTCGGGTTCCGACCCAGGCATCGGGCCACCGAGCGCCTGAACAGAGACCAGCCTGGAAGCCGGGAGAGCGGCTGGGGCGGGAGGGCAGAGGGGCGGGGCCAGGGGCGGGGCCAGGATGGCGGTGGGCGGGGCCAGGACCTGGCAGGGGCGGGGCCAGGATGGGGCGGGGCACACGTGCGCACACCTGGGTCCCCGCAGGTGGTCCCCGCAGGTGGTCCCCGCAGGTGGTCCCCGCCGTCTCCCGCGCTGCGTGGGGGACGCGCAGTCTCGTGGGGAGACTTGCTCTGCAGCTGGGTGGGTCCTTCTGCCTGGCAGCGATTTAAAATTTTTTTTGTTAAATTCAAATGAAGTTAAATGAACGTTAAGTTTAGAAGAGAGCGCAGGCGAGGGGCCGCTTTCTCAGGTGTAACAAACCCAAAGTCATAACAAGACAAACCAGCAAACGCAGCTCCGACACAGCTGTCCGCGTGCAGCAAACGCCGCGGGAGGTGAAGGCTCGTGACCCCGCGGCGCAGCCCCGCGTGGGGAGGCCGGGGAGGCCGAGGCGCGGGGCTCCGAGCAAGATGCGCGCCCCGAGGGCAGCGGGAGCAGCCGCCTCTGCAGGCATGGACTGGGGGGGCACGTCCCCGCGGGTCTCCCGGGCTTGCCGCCGAGCGAAGGTCAGTCCACTCTCCTCCGCCCGCAGCCACGCCGGCGGGCACCCCCACGGGAACTCCAGGTGCCCCGGGGCTGCCCGGCCCGCTTGTGCCCCCGCGGGCACCAACCCGCTGCGAGGCTGAACGGGGAGAGGTCGTGGTGGGGGACTCGCTGGGGGCTGCTGCTCACCAGCCAGACTACTCGGTGCTGCCCCGTGGCCAGCTGCTGCACTAGTGGGGCGCACCGCCACAGGCCTGCTGCTCCCCTCTGGTCCTCTGCCCGGGCAGCCTGCAGGGAAGGCACGTTTTGCAGACCAGCTGGCAGCCTTGGGCAGCGTCAGGACAGCTGCCCACCCCAAGTAAGAGGAGCGTGGTGATGGCTGGCAGGACAGGTGGGCCCAGTGCCAATAGCCAGGGCAGGGCACCCCCTCGCAGGCCTCCCTCCAAGGCCTGGGTGGGTCCCTTCTGCTCCTGAGCGCCCAGGGCTTTGGCTCCCCGCCGCCGCCAGCACTGTGTCCTGCACGCCGGGCACTTGTTCACATGGGTCCAAGCCGGCGCTGCAGGGACTGTGGGGCCTGAGCCCACAGTCAGGCCCTATGCTCGGCCCGGGGGCACTGTGCTCGGCGGGCAAAGTCCAGGGGGGACATGAGACATGCGGCTGGTGGGCTGGCGGGGCTCCCCCATGCTCCCTGTGCTGCAGCCGCCCTCTGGGGCGGAGGCCACGGCATTGCGGAGTCGGCACTAATCCCCCCATTACCCTGGATTACCAGGGCAGGAACCACCCGGGCCGGGCGGGTCAGGAGGGAGGGTGGGGCTGCGGGTACGCCTTGGCCCCCCACCCTTGTGCCCGCCAGCCTCCGTCCTCCCGGCGCCGGCCCCTGCCTGCTGCTCCGGGCAGAGGCCACGGCCCGAGGGCTCTGGACGGAATCTCCATAACAGCTGAGTGAGATGGGACGGCCCACATGTGGCTCCCGACATTCCAGCTGTTTTGAAACCAGCCAAACTGGGTGGTGACTTCGCTCTGCTGACCCAGGACAGGTGGGGTGTGCGCGCCCCTGGAGCCCGAGGTCCTCCCAGGGCTGGTGGGCTGAGGCTGGCGTGGCCCTGGCCTTGGGGGACCCCAGCCTGGGGGCCACGCTGGATCGGGCTGTGCAGGGCTGGAAATGCACTAGGTGTCCGCGGGGAGCGAGCCCAGCCCTGACCACCTGCCCTGCCCCCACAGGCTTCCACCTGTCCCACAAGGTCACCAGTGTGGTCCCCGAGAGCGCCCTGCTGATCGTGCTGGGCCTGGTGCTGGGCGGTGTCGTCTGGGCCGCCGACCACATCGCCTCCTTCACGCTCACGCCCACGGTCTTCTTCTTCTACCTGCTGCCCCCCATCGTGCTGGACGCCGGCTACTTCATGCCCAACAGGCTCTTCTTTGGCAACATGGGCAGCATCCTGCTGTACGCGGTCATCGGCACAGTGTGGAATGCGGCCACCACCGGCCTGTCCCTCTACGGGGTCTTCCGCAGCGGCCTGATGGGTGAGTGGGCGCCACCTCATCCAGCGTCAGGAAGGCCGGGAGCTGCCGGGGTGCAGGCCTCTACCTGCTGGCTCACCTGGCTGACGACAACCATGCACGGCCCCTCCCTGGCACCATGGGCCAGCCCGTGTCCTGCCTGAGAAAGGATTCCTGCCTGACCAGGTTGGCGGGTGGTGGGCGGGCGCAGTGCCTTCTGTGGGGGCGGGCGGGGCGGTGAGGGCCCCAGAGCGCGTGGGTGTCCTTTCTGCCCCGCCCGGCCCTCCTGCCCGCCTCTCCTGCAGCCTGGGCTTCCGGACAGGGCCCAGCTCTGCTCCTGGTGGCCGCCCAGCGGGAGCGCCACCGTCCGCCAGGAAACTGGGGCAGGTGAGGCCGGGCTCTGAGCGGCACACAGCCTGGCCTGCAGATGGCCCTGGGCCTCAAGGCAAGGCTGTGCCCAGGTTGCACGGCTGCCCCCACCCGTCCTCGGGGTCAGCCGAATAAACCCAAGACAGCACCGGGCACGTGGGGGACGAGCAGGGTTACCCTGCAAAGGGAATCCACCGTCTGGGGCCTGTGCTCAACCCCCAGGATGTGACTGTCATGTTCGGCCATGAACTGAGGTCAGTGCAGGACAGCACCTTGGCCAGCTGAGCCCCCAGCTGGGGCACGCCCCTCGGCGGGGTCTGCCCAGCCAGCTTGGGAGGCCGGAGGGGCCCGCAGAGAGAGTGGCACAGCTGGCACCCACACGAGGCCTCGTGAGCCTGGCCGGCCGCAGGCCTGCCGTCAGGGGACGCCGCGGGTGGTGCCATGTCCTCAGAGGCTGGGTCTGACCCAGCAGGGACAGCCCCACCTTGTCCAGCTAAAGGAGCCCTGGGGCCTTCGGCTTCTCCACAGCACCTGCTGTGTGGCCAGGAGCCAGACGCGACGGGTCGTGAAGCTTTTCCCGGGGGCTGGGGAAGTTGGCTCCCCCCAACTTCCACTCCCCAGGCAGCCCGAGCCCCCTTGAGGTCTGACTGCCCCCCAGCCTACTTCAAGGTCAGGGAGGCCCTGGCCAGGCCTTCCCCCGACCAGGCCCATAGGCGCCGCGGCCTCCCAGACCCCCTTCCTCCTGGCACCCCCACCGCCAGCCTCGTACACTCTGGCAGGCTGGTCCGGGCAGCAAGAGGGCAGGGTGGGCCTCCGGAGGGTGGGCTGGCTCCCCTCTCAGCCAGACCAGCTTTCCTGGAGGGCCGGGCCAGGAAGAGCAGAGGCAGGAAGAGTCCCCACCCTGGGGTGCAGCCCGGGGTCCCCACACTGCGCTCACGCTGGGCCCGCAGGCCTGGGAGGTGGAAGACCTGCCTCTGGGGGCCACGCAGCCCTGACCAAGACCACGTCTGCAGGGGACCTGGACATCGGGCTGCTGGACTTCCTGCTGTTCGGCAGCCTGATTGCCGCCGTGGACCCGGTGGCCGTCTTGGCCGTGTTCGAGGAGGTGCACGTCAACGAGGTGCTGTTCATCATCGTCTTCGGGGAGTCCCTCCTCAACGACGCCGTCACTGTGGTGAGCGGGGGTGTGGGTCCCGGGAGACGCCTTGTGGGGCTGCGGGGCCCCCAGGGCAGCGTCCCCAGGAGATCAAGCAAGGTGTGTCACCTGCAAGCGCCTGGCTGTGACCTGCCATGCGGGGGCTGGGGCCCCAGCATCCATCTCTGGCTGTGCCTCCCCGACGCCAGCCTTGCTTGGCCACGGCCGCTCATGCTGTGTGGCAGCCCCTCCAGGGTCCACGGGTGCCACGCACACTGACTTTCTGCAGAAGCTCATCAAGGGGGTGGCCGCGAACATGGCGTGAGGGGCTCCCCAGGAGGCTCCGGGCTCGGCAGTCCGTGTGGACAGCGCTGGGCCTGTGGTCAGGTCAGCTCTGTAGTGAGCCCAGGGGCACACCACTGAGGGTGTCCACTGCCTGGTCAGTGCCTCCAAGGAGAGAAATGGGAGTGTGGGGGACCCTGGCTGAGCCGCTGCCCTGGGAGAGCCCAGCGCAGCCCACGCCGGCTCGGCCCGGCCCCTGGATGCCCCCCACCCGGCTCGCCCGGGCCCCGCCCCGGTCCTACAGACTTGCAGCAGTGGGTCTGTTGCCCTGAAAGGGGCTGTGGCCCCAGAAACTCTTCCTGGTGCCCCAGGGTAGCCGGGTACCCCCACACTGTGGCCCCGGGGTATTATGCAGCAGATAAGATACTTTCTTGGGAAATTTGAGGTTTGAGAATTAATCGGAAACGCCTGCACAGCCCCTCCGCCGGTGGTGCCTGCCGCGGGCTTGGACGCTGGAAAGCCTGAGCCGCTGCCCCAGCCCGGCTTCCCCCCAGCTCCCGCCCCGCTGCCCCGGCCGCTGGCCCCTGCCTGGCCCGCGGCCCTGCCTGTGCGTCCTCGGCCCACCCTTCCGGCTGCCCCACGCCCGGCCGCGGCTCTCCCCACAGACCCCGGAGCTCACAGGATGCACTGGGGGTTCCCCCGGGGTTGACCCCCAGCCCCCTGGGCGGCTCCCCAACCGTCCTGCTCAGGTTCCGGCTTTGACCTTAGGGCCTTACGGGACGGGACGGGCGAGCCCACCCCAGGCCGCAGCAGCAGTGCGAGTGACACCATCATGGCATGTGACCGAGGACGGGCCACGGGGCTGGCTTGGCTCCGGGGTGGGAGGCCAGCTGGGCTCCTGAGGCTTCTGGCCCCTTCCAGACGCTCCTCTGCCTGGCCCGCGCCTGGCGGCACCAGTGCCAGTGACCACCCCCCACTTCGCTCAGGCTGCCGTCCCGCCACCCTGTCTCTCAGGTCCTGTACAACGTGTTTGAGTCCTTTGTGGCCCTGGGCGGTGACAATGTGACCGGCGTGGACTGTGTGAAGGGCATCGGTATGTGGTGGGTGGTGGTGGGGGTGGGGGCTGTGCCGGAAGCGCCACCAGAGTCTGGGTGCTAGGGCCCTCCTGTCCCAGCCTGCTCCCCAGTTTCTCAGCCCAGGCCGCCCTAGGTCAGGGCCGGGCCCCTCTGACTGCGAATGCTGGCTGGAGCTGGGCGGGTCCGGCTGCTGGTTGGGTCTCCTGGGGGGCAGTGGGAGTGAGGGACCTGTCTTGGGGCCCAGCGCGCCCGACCCGGCTGTGTGCTCGGAGGCCGAGGCCGCCTGCCTTTCTGAAGAATGGGCGCTTGTTCCCGAGCCTCGGCGCCCGCGGGGTGTCGGGAGCGGCTGGGAGGCCAGCGCGGGCGGCCGCACAAAGGGCCCTTCAGGCTCAGACCCCCGCCCCGCCCGCAGTGTCCTTCTTCGTGGTGAGCCTGGGGGGCACGCTGGTGGGGGTCGTCTTCGCCTTCCTGCTCTCGCTGGTGACGCGCTTCACCAAGCACGTGCGCGTGATCGAGCCCGGCTTCGTGTTCGTCATCTCCTACCTGTCCTACCTCACGTCCGAGATGCTGTCCCTGTCGGCCATCCTGGCGTGAGTCCGAGTCGGCCCCTGCCCCAGCCCGTGCCGGCCCCCTCCTGCCCGCCCCCATCTCTCTGCCCGCCCCCTCGCATTTCCCACCCCATCCCTGTCCCGCCCCCAACCGGCCCCCACCCCCCTCAGCTCTGCCACCCTCCCCAGGCCGGCCGTGGCTCCGAGTGTCCGGTGCCTGACCTCTGTCATGTTCTCCAAGAGGCCTGGCTCGGAGGAGGGGTGCACGGTGCAGGTTGTCCTGGGGTGGGGACTTCGGTGCCCCCTGCTGGGCCTGGCCAAGCCCTGTCCCCCTGGGCTGAGGGCCGGGCTGGTGTGGGGGAGCCGTCCCAGGCGCTGTGGGGGTCCCTGCTGCAGGTGTCGGACTCACAGCCCTGCCCCCTCCCCCAGCATCACCTTCTGCGGCATCTGCTGCCAGAAGTATGTGAAGGCCAACATCTCGGAGCAGTCGGCCACCACGGTGCGGTACACCATGAAGATGCTGGCCAGCGGGGCCGAGACCATCATCTTCATGTTCCTGGGCATCTCCGCCGTGGACCCCCTCATCTGGAAGTGGAACACGGCCTTCGTGCTGCTGACGCTGGTCTTCATCTCTGTGTACCGGGCCATTGGTGCGGGCGGGAGCGCGGCGCTGGGGTCTGCGGGGCGCGGGCGCGGCCCATGCTCAGGTGCACGGCGGGGGCGAGGGGCGGGCGCGAGGCCAGTGGCGCCCGCTGACTGGGCCCTTCGGAGGGAGCCCGCCCAGGCTGGAAGCCCCCCGCGCCCAGGGACCCCGCGAGAGCGAGCAGTGCCCTCGTCCCCAGCGGCGGGGCGGGCGGCGGGTTGGCGGGCCCGCGCTGAGCCGGGCCGCCCGCAGGGGTCGTGCTGCAGACCTGGGTCCTGAACCGGTACCGGATGGTGCAGCTGGAGATCATCGACCAGGTGGTCATGTCCTATGGCGGCCTGCGCGGGGCCGTGGCCTTCGCCCTGGTGGTCCTCCTGGACGAGAGGAAGGTCAAGGAGAAGAACCTGTTCGTCAGCACCACCATCGTGGTCATCTACTTCACCGTCATCTTCCAGGTAGCCCCGCGGGCCACGGCCCGCTCGGCCCTAATTGCCTTTTGTAATTTTAGTAACTGGCAGCGGCTTTGTAGGTCTCCACGTGGCCCCACAGGGGACGCAGCACCGTTCAGCCCGAGCCTCTTCCCGGCAGGCCGCGAGCCGGCCTGGCGGGCACCTGGCGGGCACCTGGCGGGCACCTGGCGGGCACCTGGCGGGCGCGGCGCTGCTGACCGCGGGGGGCCGCGCGGGGGCGCGCCAGGCCGGCCAGCGCCGGGCGGAGGGGCGGGGTCAGGCTCCGCCGGCGGGCGGGCCGAGCGGGAGGCGCCCCTGCCTGTGGTCACCTGCCTGTGTCTCAGGGCCTGACCATCAAGCCCCTGGTGCAGTGGCTGAAGGTGAAGCGGAGCGAGCACCGCGAGCCCAAGCTCAACGAGAAGCTGCACGGCCGGGTAGGGGCGGGCCCGGGTGTGGGCGGGGCCGTGGGCGCGGGGCGGGGCCGGCCATGTGGGCGGGGCGTGTGTGGGTGGGGCCGTGGTCGCGGGGCGGGGCCGTGTAGGGGGCGGGGCCGGGTGTGGGCGTGACCTGGGGGAGCGGGGCGGGCCGGATGTGGGCGGGGCCGTGGGCGCGTGGGCGGGGCCGTGGGGCGCGTGGGCGGGGCCATGGGCGGGGCCCCCCAGGCTCACCCCCGCCCCGCCCCCCAGGCCTTCGATCACATCCTGTCCGCCATCGAGGACATCTCCGGGCAGATCGGGCACAATTACCTCAGAGACAAGTAAGCGGCGCCGCCGGACACAGCGCCCGGCCTCCCGCCGCCTCGAGCCCCCGAGGCGCCTGCGGGCGGAGCTCCCGGGCTGTGCTCGCGGCCGGGAGGGACAGCGCCGCGGCGCTCCGGCTCCCCAGGCCCCCCCAGGGAACCCCCAGGGGCCCCGCACCCCCAGTCTGGCCCTCCCCGTGCCCGTCCCGTGCCCGCCCCCTGCCCGCCCCGTGCCCTCCCCGTGCCCGTCCCGTGCCCGCCCCCTGCCCGCCCCGTGCCCGCCCCTGCCCTCCCCGTGCCCGCCCCCTGCCCGCCCCCTGCCCTCCCCGTCCCCGTGCCCTCCCCGTGCCCGCCCCCTGCCCGCCCCCTGCCCGCCCCCTGCCCGCCCCCTGCCCTCCCCGTGCCCTCCCCGTGCCCGCCCCGTGCCCGCCCCCTGCCCGCCCCCTGCCCGCCCCCTGCCCGCCCCCTGCCCGCCCCCTGCCCGCCCCGCCGCGGCCGGGCTGTAGGGAGGCAGCGAGCACAGGCGCGGGCTCGAGGGGCCCCGCGTGCCCCCGCGCCCGGCTGACAGCCCGGCCCCCCAGGTGGTCCAACTTCGACAGGAAGGTCCTCAGCAAAGTGCTCATGCGGCGGTCGGCGCAGAAGTCCCGCGACCGCATCCTGAACGTGTTCCACGAGCTCAACCTGAAGGACGCCATCAGCTACGTGGCCGAGGTACCCGCCTCGGCAGGGCGCGGGCAGGCGGCAGCCCCGGCCCTCTGGGGAGACGGAGGCGCCCGACCCCGACGCCATGGCACGCCCGGGCTGCATGCGAGTTGTGGGCCCGGCCCACATGCACGCACGTGCCCACACGCCCACCGGCCACACCCGTGCCGGGGTGTGCCGCACCAAGTCGCAGGGCACACGCATGCACACATGCACACAGGCACTGCCCCAGTGCATGCGCGTGCACAGCTGCGTGTTTGCCCCCAGGCACACGTTACACACACAGACACATGCATCTGTGTCACGCAGCTGCCCCGTGCACGTGTCTTTGCACACACCACACGCCTGCACACGCCTGCACACGCACAGTGTCCAGAAGAACAGCCTCATTCCCGCAGCCTTGCCAGCGGCCATCTTGCCTGGCGACCCCGCAGCCCGCAGCCCGAGGAGGGGCGGCTTAGGCTGGGGGAGGGGCTGCCCTTGGCGCCCTGACCGGGGACTCCAATGCCCCTCTTTGGAACAGGCCAGGGCCCCATCCCCCTCTGTGAGGTCAGGGTTCAGCTGTGACCTCCGTCCTTCTCAGCTGCCCACCTCTTCCTGGGCTCCACCCCCTCCCGGGGCCCTGTCCAGGGCAGCGCAGCTGGTTAGCCCAGCGGGAGGCCCCGGTGCTTCCTGGGAGGGGAGGAGGGACGTCTGCAGGCGACCGCTCACCAGCGCCCACCCAGGCTGGTCTTTTCTTGCTTGAGGGGCCCCACGGCCTCCGGGGTAGGGGTGCGGCCGGCAACAGCGAGAGCAGGGCCTGTGGCCGGCCCCGGGTGTCCCCTGAGCGGGCCTGCACAGAGGCCTGACATTGGCGTCCCCCAGGGCGAGCGCCGCGGGTCCCTGGCCTTCATCCGCTCCCCCAGCACTGACAACATGGTCAACGTGGACTTCAACACGCCGCGCCCGTCCACTGTGGAGGCCTCCGTGTCCTACCTCCTGTAGGTGTCCGTCCTCCTGTCCCCTCCACGTGCCCCTGGGGCCACAGGGCGTCCCCATGGCACAGCTACCAGGTCCTCCGGCAGGCGGCAGCTGGGGGTGTCACAGCAGCTGGGCGGAGAGGACGGGGGTGCAAGAAACAAGTGCCCGGTGTCCCCCGCACAGACAGATCCGCCTCCACCTCCCAGCAAGTCTGCCGGCGTCCCCGGGGTGCGCACACCGGGGCGCGGGGGCCAAGGCTGTGGCCGCAGCAGGCTGTTCTGGGCCAGGTGCAGGGACAGGCGCCGGGCCGCCGGCGGGGGCTGAGGTCTGACCCGGAGGCAGGTGCTCTGTGCGTGGGGTCAGCACAGAGGAGGGCAGGCCCGTCGCCTGGGCGGGCGCCGGAGACAGCCCAGTGGTCCTGGCCCCGCAGGAGGGAGAACGTCAGCGCCGTGTGCCTGGACATGCAGTCCCTGGAGCAGCGGCGGCGGAGCATCCGCGACACGGAGGACACGGTCGCCCACCACACGCTGCAGCAGTACCTGTACAAGCCGCGGCAGGAGGTGGGCGCTGGGGCTGCCCCCACGGCCCGGGAGGGGCGCCCCGGCCCGGGACAAGCGGACCCTCTCCGGGCGCGGAGAGCCGGGTCGGCGGTGGGCCCAGGAGCGCCCCCATGATGTCCCGCCCCCCCAGTACAAGCACCTGTACAGCCGCCACGAGCTGACGCCCAACGACGACGAGAAGCAGGACAAGGAGATCTTCCACCGCACGATGCGCAAGCGCCTGGAGTCCTTCAAGTCAGCCAAGCTGGGGCTGCACCAGAGCAAGAAGGCGGCCAAGATGTACAAGAGGGAGCGCGCCCAGAAGCGGGTGAGGGGCGGCAGGGTCCCATGGGCGGGGGCCGGGTCCCGGGAGCAGCCGGCTGGGGGGTGGGGTGCGGGGCTGGTGCGGGGGCCCCCGTGGGTGGGCCCCAGGGTGTGGCCGAGCGCCGGGCCTCCTGCAAGGGCTCTCTGTGTCCCAGAGGAACAGCAGTATCCCCAACGGGAAGCTGCCGCTGGAGAGCCCGGCGCACAGCCTCACCATCACGGAGAAAGGTACCGTCGGGCTCGGGCCGGTGCCCAGGGGGACCCTGCGCCACCGGCTGCTTGTCCTGCCGGCCGGCCGCAGCCCATAGCGCCCCAGGGCTGTGTCCCTCATTCACAGGCGCCTGCTGCCCTGTGGTCAGCCCCCACTTCCCCAGCGCGCCCCTCCCAAGAGGCCAGGTGTGGGTGGAGAGGGGCGCAGGGGCTCCTGGGGGTCTGCCTAGCCCGGTCCTGTCCCCACGGCCATCTGGGCTCCAGTGTCCACCGAGCTGCCGCTGCCGCCCAAGTCCACCAGGGCTCACTCAGGCGGGCCAGGCGGCGGTGGGCGCGGCGTCCAGGCCACTTTCCCGCTGCCCAACCTTGCCCAGATACGGAGCTCTCGGAGCCCGAAGAGGCCCCCGATGACACGGCCGAGGAGATGACCGGGGGCATCGAGTTCCTGGCCAGCGTCACACAGGACACGGCGGCCGACTCCCCCTCAGGTGAGTGGAAGGGACGGACCTGCCCCTGCGCTGGACTCCAGGAGCAGGCGCCGAGACCACCCCCGCCGACGCTGCTGCCGCCGGGAGGGGCATCCGGCCGCGAGCCCTCCCCACCCCATGGCCGGACGCGGGGGCCGGCGGCCAGGCTGCACGGCTGGCGGGCAGGCGAGGGGGGAGGACGACGCCTCCCAGGCCGGCCTGACCTTCCAGGTGAGCTCCGGGCGAGCTCGGTGGCCCGTCTGCGCTGCGCGGCCGGGAGGTGACGCGCTGCCGCCCTCTCTCCTAGGGATTGACAACCCCGTGTTCTCCCCCGACGAGGACCTGGGCATCCTCGCCAGGGTGCCCCCCTGGCTGTCCCCCGGGGAGACGGTGGTGCCCTCCCAGAGGGCCCGTGTGCAGCTGCCCTGCTCGCCCGGCACCCTGCACCGCCTGGCGCCCTTCCGCCTCAGCAGCAAGTCGGTGGACTCGTGCCTGCAGGAGCCCCGTGCCGCGCGCCCCGAGTCCACGCACATGTAACGCCCTAACCTGTCTCCCGCTCCTCTCCCCAGGCCGGTCTCCGCTCCACGCTGCTCTCCTTCTGGCTCGCCTGACCGGGTCGCCGCGGGCGGGCCTCGCTTCTGCCGGGCGGGCGTCGGGCTGGGGCCGGAGCTGGGGGGCCTGTGTCTAGCGGCCAGCTCTTCCCTGCCCTCGGCTCAGGGCGGCGGGACTGGCTGGCTCGGCAGCCCGGGCAGGGTCTTGTCTGCTTCCCCAGGGCCCGGGAGCCCAGAGAGCGCCGGGGGTGCCTGGGCCCTACGAGGGGTGTGCAGGGAGGACCCAGGGCAGGGGTGCGCCGCTCCCCAGCTGCCGTGCTGCCCCCTGACCCGGGCAGGGTTGGGGGGTGCTCTCAGGGCCCTGGGAGGTGGTGCCCATTTCACCTTCAAAGGGCGGAGGAGCAGGGTTTGGGGTTTCGCGCAAGGGGGTGGTGGCAGGACACAGGACACCTGCTTTCCGCGGGCAGTTCCCGGCCGGTGCCCCTTCTGTGGGCTCGGTCCAGGTGGGGGTGCAGCCGTCCCCCCAGGGGGCCCAGGGGCGCTCCCGGGACCCAGGTGGCGGCTGGAAAGGAGGGGCCGCGAGACCGGGTCGGGGAGGAGGTCGCGACCGTCGCCGCCCCTGCCGCGCGGTCCCGGGGTGTCCGCGGCGAGGCCGTGGGGGCGCGGCCGGCGGGCGTGGGAGCCGCACCCCTGGGCGCGGGGCCGGGGCCGCCCGCTCACGCCGGCTTCTCCCGCAGGTGACCCGGGCTCGGACACGCCGCTGACCGGACGCTCGTCCCCGCGCGAGGGGCCCCCGCCGCCCGCCCGGGTCCCGCGCCCGCGCGCCCCGGCGCCGCCCCGGCGCCGCCCCCCGCGCCCCCCGCGCCCCCCGCGGAGCCCGAGCCCGGGCCGGGCCCGGAGCGCCGGGGGCCGCCGGGCGCCCACGCGAGGTCGGCGGCCGCGCGCCGCGTGCACAGCCGGCGCTCGTTCCAGCGGCCCCGCGCGCGCCGCCGCCCCGCGCTGCTCAAGCTCGCGTCGCTGCAGCCGCCCGGCCCCGCGCCGCTCGCGCTGGAGCAGGAGGAGACGCCGCTGTGACCGCGCGCCCCCCCAGCCTGCGCCCCGGCGCTCGGCGGCACCAGGCCCCGCCCGCCGCGGCCTCGCACCGGCAGCTCCGCGGACACCTCCGCGGACACCTCCTGGGCACCGGGCCGCCCCCCCACCCCCGGGCCTGCCCGGCCGCCTCCTGGCGCGGCTCCCGCTCTGCGGGGCCTCAATGCAGCGAGCGGCCGCGGTTCAGCGTCCAGCCCCGGCCAGGGGGCCACTGCGGCCTCCTGGCCGCGGCAGGGCGGGGCTGGTCTGCGGGGACTTGGCAGAGTTCAGACCCCCACCTGGGCTCCTCTGAGGCCGCCAGGCTGGAGGCCACCGGAGGGAGACCATGGTCCAGCCGTCCCCAGGGAATGGGGGGTCTGTGGTTAGTGGGGAGGCCCGAAGGCCTTGTCCGCCGTGGCTACCCTCAGACATAGGGCCTTGCGTGAAGCTGACGTGGGATTGAAGGCAGCGGGCTTCCAGACACTCCTGTAAACTTTCGGAAGAGGTCAGTGCCGGCTCTCGGCCCAGGGAGGGGCAGGACGCAGGCTGCGCTGCGGTCACGTTCCCGAGGGCCTGCGGGCGGCCGGTGCACATCGCGTCCTGGCGAGAGCCTTCCTGCAGCCCACCGCCCAGCCCTGCTGTCGAGGAGACGAGTGATGGCCAAGGCAGTCGCCCCCGCGGCTGCCGACGGGACTGGACGTGCGGCTGGAGGTCGCCGGCCCTGCCACAGGCAGGGGACTCGGCCGGCGCTGCCTCCTGCCCTGCGAGCGGCCGGGTGGCAGGCCTGGGGCACGTTCCATAAACGAGAACCTCGTTGTTGTAAAACAGAATGTCAACCAAGGCCTATGAATGTATTTCCTTAGGAAAACTCTTGTAAAATTTCCTATTGGGGAAGAATTCCTATTTATTGAACACTGGACTTGGGCCCACTCTGTGGCAGCCTGGAGCACAGGTGTCTGGGGTCTGAGACGCGGGGGAGGCGACAAAGTGGCGGTTCTGCGGAGACCGGAATTGAAGTGCATTCTAAGCGGCGAGTGGGGGCTTTCCGCCCATGAATCTCGTGACCTGATCACAGAACTGTGCCTTAGCGTCCCCGGGGGGCCGCTGCAGAGCCGCCAGACCTGCCACGGCTGCTCCCGCCAGCCCAGAGTGTGCAGCGTGTTCACAGCTCTGCAGGCAGGCGGCACCCACGTGTCCAGAGGAGGTGGCCCTGCTGGAGGAAGTGGGGGGCCTTGGCAGGGCCAGACCTGCTGGCGGGGGGCCAAAGTGTGGTAGAGCCTCATGCCTGCCCCTACACCTCCCAGGGGTGTCCCCAGATGGAGTCTGGCTCCCAGGTGGACCCCGCCCCCCACCCAGTTGCACCAACTGCAGCACCTGGGGTCCCAGTTGCCCAAACAGACACCTCAAACAGGGGAGCTGTAAGCGCCCCTCGGAGACCGCTTGGCACACCGAGCACCACACATGCTCACAAGGCCTTCGGTCGGGGCTGCCGAGGGTGTCCAGGCGCAGGACAGCGTATTCTGGGCTCTGACAGACAGAAGTGCAGCTGCTTGGCGTGGTCCCCGTCCCCCAACAGGCCTGCTGCCCTGCCCAGTCGCTGCGCAGATGGCCACTGGGTGGGCGGGAGGGAGCCAAGTCCTGGGGCCACCCAGCCAAGTCATGTCCCGGGAGTGGGTGCCTGCCAGGCAGCCCAGGAGCCTCCAACCACCCTGGGGAACCCTTCTGGACAGAGGCCTCCGTGACCTCAGGCTGTCTGGGGTTCCCTCTCTGATGCACTCTCACCCCTGCTTTCCGGGTCCAGGAAGTGCCCAGCACGAAAGGGGCCCCCGACCCTGGCAACGTCCCGAGAAGGGGACTCTGAGGAGCCGCGCCAGGAAGACACAGGTGCAGGCACAGGGCCCCTGTTTATTCCAGGGGCCGCTCTCCACTGACTTGCTGGGGAGGAGGGGGAACAGTGCAAACGGGGCAACGGTCATGAAGTCGGGGTCCCCTGCCGCTTCAGAAAGCCCAAGGCTCCTGCTGCTGACCATGGCTGAGGGGAGGCTTCCTGATGGCTGAGGCCCCAGGCTCCGCAGGGCCACTGCAGCGGGGCCTCCCCGAGTCTCGGCTCTGCAGACGCAGGCACGCTGGGCAGCGGTGTCCGAGGCACTGGTCAGTGTCCACTTCCCGGGCGGCTGCAGGCACAGCTACTTGAGGAGCTTGGGCACGTTCAGGCTGGGGACAGCGATGTCCTTGAAGAGGGGCACGTAGTCGGGGCTGGCCTGCGCCGAGCCCTGGTCCAGTGACTCGAGGATGGTCTGCTTCATGTCCCGGCTGGTGTCGCCGCGCACGGCCAGCAGCGCCCCCACATGCTCGTCCCTGGGGCACAGGGGTGTCACCTGGGGCTCCCAGCCGCCTCCCCCGCGCGGCCAGGAGGAGGGCGCCCTCACCTGATGTCGGGGTACTTGCTGACCAGAGTTGAGACCTCCAGGTACAGCAGAGAAGGGTCAGTCAGCTTGATGACCTCAGCGACGGCCACAATCGTGTCGCAGTGTTCGCCTGCATCCTCGCCAGAGCCCTGGGGGCAGGAGTGCAGGGTGGCGCCCTCTGTCACGGCCGTCGCAGGCCCCAAGTGATGCCCCTCTCCCCAGGGCTGGGCAAGGTGGCGGGAGCCCAGCCCCCGGGGCGGAGCTGGGGAGTCCAAGCATCGACAGAGGTACCCCGGGCTAGCTGCCTGGGCCCACAGGCCTGCTGCACGGGCCCCACCAGGGAACCTGGCCGGCACAGCAGGGCAAGCACTCACCGAAGCCAGCCTGCGGAATAGGAAGCGGAGCTGCTCGGCCTCACGGACCATCCGCTCGGCGCCCTCCTTGCGTTCCTCGGCGCCCCGGAAGGAGATGCGCTTCAGCAGCAGGGCCCGCAGGTACTCCACCACCACGCGCCGGTGCGCCTCAGCTGTCAGGCGCTGGGGGGGCAGTGGGTGTGAGGCCAGCACCCCACTGCAGCCAGCCCCTCCCCCCGCAGCCAGCGCCCCCTCCCTGTGTGTGTGCAAGGCAGTCGGGCAGGCGCTCAGGTCTCCCCTGAAGACCCCACCCGGAGCTCCCTGTTTCCTGACAACTGCAGGTCAAAGGAAGCGTCGTGGGACCCCACTGACGGTGCCCCCATGGTGCCCCAGAGAGCAGCTGCCGGTGCCATCCCATGCGGCTGGGCCTGCCCTCCACGCCAAGACCCCCCAGGGCTGCGTGTGGGCGCATGGGGAGATGGGGCTGCAGCCGCCGTCTCGAGGGGTGGCACCAGGGCGTGCGAGGAAGGGGCACCATGCAGCGTGAGGACCTGCTGGACCCGGCCACACCGCAGCCTTGTCTGCTCAGGGGCGGGAGCTGTGCTGGGGGCCAAGGACGTGGCCCTGGCCAGTGTGAGGGGCCCCAAGGCAGACAAAGCTGGACAGCGGCCAGCAGGCGGAGGCCAGGAGCCCACAGGGTGGCAGCCAAGGGCGGAGAGCAGCAGGTGGAGAGCCCAGGCGCCCCCCCACTGAGGGCCTCAGCATGCGAGCAGCTCAGAAACAGCAGCAGACCCGAAACCCGCACAGCAGCAAGCTCCAGACCGCCCCGGGGCCCGCCCCGCTGGCTGCCCCTCGCCGACCTTCTTATACGGCTTCTTGATCCTGGCGAAGTCGTTGAAGTAGTCCTCCACGGTGACGCAGATGATGTCCACAGCGTTGGAGCCCGACAGCCACTTCTTCGTCATCAGCTCGTTGAGATGTTGCTAGAAAGGGGAGGCTCACCTGAGGCCGGCCCAGCGGGCCCGGCTGCTCTCGCCCAGCTCTGCCGGACGTTTGCTGGCGCCACGTTTATGAGAAACGCTGTGGCGAGCGTCTCCACGGGGAATCTCCTAATGGCGAACGGCACAATGTGAACCCGCGAGACCCGCCGGCCTGACCCGGCTGGAGAGAGCGGCAAGGCCGGGAGGGTGGCGAGGCCAGCAAGGTCAGGCTTTTGCTGCACACTCACGATTTCTTTTTCTGCGAAATGGCCACTCACGTTTATCTACCTTCTGTCATTTCTTAAACCTTGACATGTTTCTCAGGCGCACGCACATCATTTGTCTCCTAAATCATTTTGAGAACCTCGCAGACAACCAGGCCTCCGAGGGCAGTTTCTGCTTGTGGGCCCCATGGGGTACTCGGTCCTCGAGCTCCTGCCCGCTCCCTGGTGCAAACCCCCGCGCTTGTGCAGACCTGCTGCTAGGTGGACACCTAACCCAAGCCTTTGCTCCAACTGCAGCCGCCGTGCGGCACATGAGTGCCTGGCCCGGGTCAGTGTTGAGGTCTGGGGTAGGTCTGACTGGCCTGCTGCCTGCTGTTCTCTTCCGGGCCCCGCTTGGGGCCAGTTGGCTCCAGCAAGGCTGGACCTGAGCTGCCGCCGCGCGGCCCCTGCTCAGCGCCCAGTGGACCCCGGCCCGCGCGGCTCGCACCTCCAAGTCCAAGAAGACCTCCTCCAGCAGGCCGCCGCAGCCCTCCGTGGCGATGGCGTCCAGAACCCCGTCCATGCTGAGCTGGCCCAGGGCCGCGCCCTCTTCCACATCCTGCTTGAGGTGCTTCCTCTTCAAGCTGACTATGGACTCCCTGCAAGGCGAGGCCGGCTCAGGGCGCGTGGGCAGGCACGTGGGTGGGCGGGTGCAGGCGGGCGGGCACTCACTGGAAGGTCTGGCAGTTGTTGATGATGGCGACCATGTACTGCACGTAGCAGGGCGGGTGCTGGCGGTTCCGCAGGTGCTCCTCCTTGTATGCCTGAGCCTCCTCTTTGTACCTAGGGCGGGGTGGGTGCACAGGTGTCGGCGCAGCTGGCATCGCCGGGTCAAGGAGAGCACCTGAGGGGCTCTGACCGCACCCTGGAGGGTCCACGTGGACAGAAACAGAGAAGCTGGCCATTCCCAGTGGTCTGGTAAATCCGAGCTTCGGAACGGAATTGGTTTCTACCTACGAGATACCCCGCGGCGCGGGGAGGTCCGTGCGTCTCGCTTTCTGACACGCACTTTGCCTAGGAACTCCACACGACCTGGGGTATCGACGTCAGAGAGAAAGCCCCCTTTGAAATTCTGTCTAAAAAAATCAAATTAAAAATAAGTCCAACTCTCAGCCTCCCTGGGGGCACAGGGATAAAGTCTCATCTCTGAAGCTGCAGCACGAGTGTGATCCCCTGCCAGGGAGCTACCCACAGGGCACAGCAGACCCCTCCTGTCTCCCCGCTGCTCCCCTCAGCAGTGGGTTTCAGTAGATCTACCTGTTCTGCTCCCCACTCTGTCTCTGGTGAATCCTCTCACCCCCACACCTCTGGCTTGCACCCCAGCTCTTGTATGCATAAATAAAATAAATCTTTAAGAAAAAAAATAAGGCCAACTCTTTGGATGTCAACAAAATAGACAGTTGAGACAACCGCGCGTCCCTTTACACCGACCCGGAATCGCTCCGGCGGGCGGGGGCGCTGACCAACTCAGCAAGGTGACCACGATGACCTGCGCTGGCCAGGACCCCGAGCTGCTGAGAATGCTGAGGACAAGGTCCTCTTTACAGAAGACCCCCCTCCTCCCAGTGAAAGGACCAGCTCAGCGCCAGGGGTGGAGGACTGGGGGGACCTGGGGCTGGAGGCCCTAAGGGAGGGCAGCAGGGCAGGGGTGGGTAAGGCCCCGGGAAGCTTCCCCGTGCGCCATGACTGGGCTCTTGACACGCAGCAAGGCAGGAAGAGGCCAGTGCTGAGGGGCAGCACCATCCAGCAGGCAGCCCCGGAGAGGCCAGAGCCGAGGTGCTGGGGCTGGCTCAGGGAGGGTGGACGGGGACAGTGGCGATGGTGAGGTCTGCGTGCTGGCCTCCCTGAGAACACTCCAGAGGCACAACCCTGAGCCCGGGGGGAAGGGGGGCGCTCAGGGCACCCGCCCAGGGGTGAGAACGCAGGTGACCCAGGAACCTCAGCAAGCAGAGGCGGGTCTGAGAAAAACGGCCGTGTCCACAGCCCGCGGTACTGCCCGCCCGCCAGCGAGGAGGAGCAGGAGACGGCCCACGCCACCGCCTGGTTCTAGGGACAAGGTGACTCTCCTGGCTTGAACTCCAGGGACAGCAGTGCCAAAAATATTAAAGGTCAAAAACGTTTGTTTTCAAGTTTAACAGACGCACACTTTCTCGATCAGCGTGCTGGGAAAGCCCGTACCTATTTAAGAACGAATTCATCTGCTGCAGGCACAAAACCAGCACCTTCGTTTTCAAATCTTCACTTATCTGAGCAGCCACTTGAAGGTTCTGTTCAAACATCTAAAAATTAAACGGCTTATAAATTCTCGCACCAGCTCACAAGAAAGCGGGGCGCCCTCCTGCCGACTGGTAATTACGACGGTCCAAGCTCACAGAAAACGCACACAACCATCTGCAAAGTAACAGTCCAAACACCTGACTCGCCACACGACGCCCGGGGACCCGTCTCGGGCACCGTCTCAAGCGCCTGAGAGGAGGGCGCGCTCTCGCGGCGCCGCCGGGCCAGGCCGCTCTGGGAAGTGACCCTGGGCAGCGTTGCTGGGAGGCTGTGCGGGGGCTTGCAGGAGGCAGGGGCCTCGTGCCAGAGCTGGCCGACCAGGGCGAGGGCGGTGCTGGCCGTGGTCCTGACAAGCAGTCTGATGGGACGCCAGTTTCCAGGTAAAGGAAAGGGTGAGGATGGCATGTCACTGCAGTTGGTGGCCCTGAAATGGGCCACTTCTGCCCCTGGGGCTGGACCCACGTGGCCCGCAGGTCCTGCTCAGTCCCCCACGAGGCGGGGGCCGGCCCCCAACGGAGCAGGAGTGCGGGAACGAGGCCCAGCAGAGCTCGGGAGCGCCGCGAGCCCGGAAGGCCCCCGCGCCCAGCAGACTGGACTCCACCGGGAGCACTCACCACTCCCCAAACACCAAATTGACTCGAGCGTCACACAAATAACACAATTACCAGCAAAAAAGACAAGAAAACTGAAGTGAGCTTGGGCCAACTGTGGGGCCAGGAGGCCCTTGGGCCCCTCAGGCCAGAGACAGCCATGTCCTCACTCCCTGCGCGCCACCCCACCCAGCCGCGGAGGTACCTGGAACACGATGGCGGGGAGCGTGGTCTGGTAGTACCCATCCTGGTCGGCTTCCGGCTCCGTCTCTCTGACCCAGTCTTTCTTGTCCGTTTCTAGCGCTTTCCTCAGCCAGGCGATGATGTTGGACTATGGGCGCCCAGAGGTGCGGGAAGGAGGGGAGGTGGGCCCTGAGTCCAGCCGCACGCGCATCACCGGGCAGCTGCAGCGGCCAGCACAGCTGGGGCGGCCCGAGCCCCTCAGAGGCGACAACGTGGTGGAGCCCACCAGCCTGCAGGCAGAGCACTGGGCAGCCACTGAGCGGAGGACAAGGCCGGGCCTGGTGGAGGATGTGCCCTCGGCCACCCTGGTGAGCCCTGGGCACAGCCCAGGCCAGAGAGCTCCGGCTCCTGTTCCCAACAGGGCCATGCGGCGGCCCCCACCTTCTGGCCTTAGGCTCACCGTGGCAGGGCCTCAGCCTAGAGGCCACGGGGTAGCCACAAACCACCATCCCCCACACCTGAGCTCGGGGCTCCAGGGGCAGGTGCCTCTGCACCTCAGGGTATCCAGGGTCCTCTGGCCTGTGGGGAGGACAGGCCCACTCCCACCCAGGAGGGCACACAGCCACCAGACGGACCCCGCCCGCCCCCCCTAGCCAGGACGCGGCATTCCCGGAGCCCGCAGCCCCCAGGGGCCGTGCGGACAGGCCTCTGCACAGGCGCACTCACAGTGAGTGTCGACATGTACGTGTCCAGCAGCTTCGAGATCACGTTGGGGGCAAGCAGAGGCTCCAGGGTACCGACGTCCACCTCTGGGGCCAGCTCCACGTTCCCCATCATCTCTGTGCTGTGGCCAAGAGCCAGACAGGAAGACGCCTTATCGGGCCAGCTCCCCGCGCACGGTGCGCCCGGCACAGGGGCCGTCTCCTTGGCCCAGCCAGGCAGCCAGGGACTGGGCAGCTGGCCTGGCCAAGGGGGACACGGATGGGGGGCACCAGCACCCAGGTCAGGACGGCCAGGCACGCGCGGCTTCCAGTTGGTGCCAACGGAGGGGAGCGTCTTTCAAAAAGACCTTCTGGCGGCCACCAGGCGATGGCCGACGCCTGCACGGAGCACGCTGTCTGCACAGACACGCGGCCCACGGAGCCCGGCGCATGGAGCCCACGGCCTGCTTCACAGCCACTCAGTGTCCCCACGAGAAAGGCCACCAGGGCCGGTGCGGTGGCTTGCCGCCTCCTTGTGCTGCTCCGCCCTGTCCTGTCCAGCTGCAGCCTAGCCCTCACTGCTGATGGGCGCCAGCTGACTCTGCAGCAGCCACGGGACAAGTGCTAAGACCCGGCCCGGTCCTCAGCGGGGCCTGGCCACACCACATAGGACTGGGAGGGCACCCCCCTCAGCGGCCAGCCTCTTGGTCTCGGAGTCCTTGCAGCACCCAAAGAGCGCGAAGACATGACTCCCACACCCCGAGACAAGGCAAAACCTCGAGGCCGAAGGCAGAAAGGGGAACCCTGTTTCTAGCAGACTGTGCCGGAGGGAAAACCGGCCGGTCACTGAAGCCCGAGGTGGTGTGGCTGCCCCCGTCCGAGGGGGAGCCGGGCTGCGGCCGCAAGGACCAGGCAAGCGCAGTGGGAAGACGTGACGTCAGAAACAAGCCCCGCACCGCTCAAAGGCCAACTCGGAGGCCTGAGGGAAATGTCGCTGGGCAGCGGGCAGCCGCTGCAGGCAGCGGCAGGGTGCCCGTGGAGAGAAGGCAAGCGGCGTGGGCTCACCTGGTGTAGGTGTTGAGGACCCAGGTCAGCAAGCTCACTATCTCGCTGGCCTCCAGGTCCTCGGCCGCCAGCTCCTGCATGCGGGCGCGCAGAGCCTGCTGGTACATGTGCAGGAGGGCGCCCAGGATCTCGTAGTGGGGTGGGAAGCACTGCACCATCAGGGTTTTGGCCACGACGAGGTCGTCCAGGACGTACTTCCTGATGATCTCCAAGTGTCGGACGAGCCACATCTTGTCGGATTCCCTGGTGTCCGCCTGCGTGCCCTCAATCCTGGTCGTCACGGTTTTGTCCAGGATGGCAAACATCTTCTCCTTCCAGCTTTTGGGCCGCCCGGGGGGTACAAAGCCCGTCTGCTTTTTTCGATCAAGAATGCGTCTGTCAATTTTTTCTTCCCTTTCAATGATCCTGACCACAGAGACCAGCAGGGTGGGGTCACGCCGGACAGTGACCAGGGCCCGCTGCAGCACCATCCACAGCTGCTTGGCCAGCTCATCCGAAAGCCCCTGCGTGCTCCCGAAATAGCTGTGGATGAGGGCCATGTCGCGCGTGTTCCCACTGTCCATGCGGAACTGCTCGCACATCAGCCCATCCCGGGAGCACTCCAGGTCCATCAGCTTGCGGTGGGCCTGCAGCAGCGCCCCCTGCTCGATGAGATCCTGCGTCTCCCTCACAATCTCAGGCACTGTAAAAACCACAGCAAAAACGACATGGTGAAAGTCGTCCCAGAGAAGCGGGGTCCGAGCGGGAGCAGGGGAGACTGCGGGAGCTGCCCCTGCCAGACCACTCCAGAGTCCACTGAAGACCCATCACTTCCGGGTAGGAGCAGGACCACAACCACAACTGACTCAGGTCCTCAGTCTGGCTGTTACCCCAGTGGCCCCGGCCTGGACACCAGTGGTTGCCGGGCCTGGGGGGTGGTCTGCACACGGCTCATGGGAGGAAGGTAGACACACAAGCCCCGGCCTGCCTGCTGCTTGTGAGGCCGCCCCCTCCAGCTGGGTGACCCCAGGAACGCAGGTGAGCACTTTCCCCTTCACCTTCCTGGCCCCCCTTTGGAAACCAGATGTCAAGCCCTAAGCCCTGTGTGCAGGGAGACCAGAGATACCCTGTGCCCAAAGGCCCCTGAAGAAATGAAGTGCACCCCTCAGCCCTCAACAGAACCAGCGGCGGCACCAAAGGGCAGAGCAGCGCAGGAGTCGGCACGTCCTCGGGAAAGGGGAGACCATGCCCAGCGTGCGCCGATTCTCAAGCACAGACCAGCAGGGAGCACGGAGGTTCCCGGGGAAGAAACCAAAGACAAGCGCCGGCAGAGACCAGGCGCCGGGCCTCCCGAGGAAAGACGCTAAAACTGGTCTTAAAGATGCTCAAAAACCGAAGGGATGCGAAGGAAATCAGGAAATGACCCGCAGGGATCGTCCCCAAAGGAGCGGAAGATCCAAGAGCAGAAGCCCACAGGTGAGAAGCACAAACGCCAGAAGGAGCATGTCCGCAGCAGATCACGTCAGCGGCCTCGCTAGGTGTGGACAGGAAAGCCAGGCATAGGTGATGAGGTGCCCCCACCCCGCCCACAGCAAAGCCAGAAGCCGGTGACTGGGACTGGGCAGAAGTGTGGACGGGAACCCCCGGGGCCTGAGAGCCGTGACAGGGAGAGGAAGACGCCCAAGAGGAAGGCCCGGCACAGTGCACGGTGCGAGATGGGCCAGCGCAGGGGTGGGCAGGCCGCATGGCTCCCTCAGAGCAGAGGTGCCAGGCCCGTGGAACAGGGCGCCAATGCCATGATGGGCGCGGGAAAAGCCAAGGGCAGCGTGGGAAGAGACAACGGAGGGCAGAACACGGCAGAGGAGATCAAAGCCAGAAAGCGGATCCCTGAACGCATCGGCCTGGACCAGGCTCCGTGGCTGGCCCCAGCCCGAGACGGCTGATGTGCTGACAGGCGCCCGCTGGCCAGTCCCAGGGTCTGGCCGCGCGGCTGCACCCACCTGAGAAGATGCTCTTGAGGTTCTCCACGGCGGCGGCCAGCTGGCTGTGCCGGACCACAGCGTCCTTCACGCCCCGCAGGCTCTCCACGGTGTTGATGCTCCGCCGCCAGTCCGTGCTGACGTCGGCCAGCGAGCGCTGGATGTCCTTGACGTCGCCCAGCGCGCTGTGCAGCTGGCTCAGGCCCGTGCGCACCCCGTCCAGCTGCGACTGGATGGCGGCCTGCAAGGGGGAAAGGACGCGCCAGGTCCGGGAAGGGTGTCGGGGCCTGCGACCCCACGCAGCGGGTTCCTGTGGCTGCGACGGCACAGCTGGGCCCGCACTGGCCGGACGCGCAGCGGGATGGTACACAGGCCGAGCGACCCTTTGTGGCCAGTCTGCCCGTGTCTGGACACTCCCCTGGCTCCAGCTGGCCCCGGGGGCCCGCAGTGTCTTGGGGGACGCCGGCGGTCGGGGGAGCAGGCCCTGAGCACCCTCTCCTAGGCCTCTGCGGGGCGCCCTCCGGTTTCCAGGACAACCCCGACTGGCCCTCGACTCAGGCCGCCCCCCCCCACCATCTACCGGAGGCCGAGCCCGTGGGGCGCGGACACCCCCGCGGCGGAGCCTCGCCGAGGCCCGGTCTCCGGCCGCCCCGCCGCCCGCCCGCGCACCTTCAGCCGGGCCTCCACCGAGGCCTTCTTGCGCGCCTCGCGGCGGCGGTACTGCTCCACCTTGTCCAGCTGGTCGGGGCGCTGCAGCATGCCGGCCACCCGCTGCACGGCCGTGGCCACGGCCTCGCGGTCCGTCTCCCGCATGGCGGCCGGGCGGACGCGGCGCCTGCGGGGCAGAGGCCGGGCGCGGGGGGCGCGGGCTGAGCCTCGGGCCGGGGGCCGCCCGGGCCGCGGAAGGCGCCCCCGGGGACACCCCGCCCGAGGCGGCCCCGCGGCTCGCGCCCCCGCCCACGACGGCCGCGGACGGCCCCCTACGGCCCGAGAACGCCCCCGACGGCCCGAGGACGCCCCCCCACGGCCCGAGAACGCCCCCGACGGCCCGGGGACGCCCCCCACGGCCCGCGGACGCCCCCGACGGCCGCGGACGCCGCCCCCACGGCCTGAGGACGCCCCTGACGGCCGCGGACGGCCCCCCCACGGCCTGAGGACGCCCCCCGCCCCGAGCGCCGCGGCCGGCAGCGGGGACGGGCGCGGAGGAGCCCCGACCCCCGCCCGGGCCTCACCTGCGCCGCCCGGAAGTGCGCGCCCAGCGCTTCCGCTTCCGGCGCCGCGACCGGAAGGGCGGCCGGGCCAGCGCGGGGCGGGGCGCGGCGCGGGGCGGGGCGAGGGGCGGGGGCTCCGTGAGCGGGGCTCCGGGGGCGGGGCGGGCGGGGCGGGTACGGGGCGCCGAGAGCAGGGGGCCCCGGGGGCGGGGCGGGGCGCCGAGAGCGGGGGGGGGGGTGTTCCCGGGGCGGGGGCGGGGCCAGGGCGCCGACAGCGGGGGGCCCCGGGGGCGGGGCGCCGAGAACGGGGGCCCCGGGGGCGGGGCGGGGCGGGGCGGGGCGCCGAGAACTGGGGGCCCGGCCCGCGGGGACGTCGCAGCGGGGACGCGGCCCCGAGCCGGCCCCCCGCGGGCAGCGCGCCGAGGCCCAGGGCAGGGACCCGGCGCGCCCCCCCCCGCCCCTGCCGGGGTGCGCCGCGGACTCGGAGGAAGACAGCGGCGCGTGGTGGTTTGACGCCCGCGGGGCGCGGCCTTTATTGTGAAGCGCGGGGATACCGGGGGGGGGGGTTCACGGGGATACACGGAGGGGGCGGGGATACACGGGGGGCGGGGGGGCTGGCGGAGCGTGTGGTTTCCGGGCTCCGGCGAGGGGGCCCCGAAGCCGCGGCTGCGCTCCCGGGACCGCCCAGCGCGAGCTCCGTGTCCGCCCGACCGTCCCGCGGGAGACGCCGGCCGCCCCGCCCGGGGCTGCCCTGCGGGGACCCGCGCTGCCCGGGGCTGCCCTGCGGGGACCCGCCCCGCCCGGGGCTGCCCTGCGGGGACCCGCGCTGCCCGGGGCTGCCCTGCGGGGACCCGCGCTGCCCGGGGCTGCCCTGCGGGGGCTGCCCGGGGACTCGCGCGCAGGGAAGGGCAGCCCGGGCAGGTCTGTCGCGCCCACCCCGCGAGGCGGACCCCAGAGCTGTCCCGGGGCCCCTTCCAGACAGGGTGCAGGCGCCACCCCCATCGTGCTGCGGCCCTGGAGCAGGGCGGGGGGGGGGGGGCAGCCCTCGAGGGGGTGGCCCCAGCGTGTGCCCGCGGCAGGGCGGGGGGCTCGGCGGGGACAGTCTAAGCAAGCGCAGTGGCGTCTGAACCGACCCCTGGCCGGGGCTCCAGCCCGCGCGGCCTCCTGAGACCAGGGGGGCTCCCGGGCGGGCGCGGCGGCTTGCGGGTGGCAGATGTGAAGGTGAGAGTCTGACACCCCACCTGTGCGGGGCCACCCTGCGGTGCCCAGCAGGTGAGCACTGGGGGCAGGATGCCGGCCAGCGAGCCGGCCACGCCCTCGCAGTGGGAGATGTGAGGACTTTCCAGAAGGCCCTGTGGCAGCGCAGAGACGACACAGAGGGGCTGCCAGGAAGGCCCTGGAGTCCTGGGCGTCAGTGGGTGACCATCTGCCAGTCCCAGGAGCAGGCCTGCAGCTCAGCTGTGCCCCACGGGGGTCCCCCCATGAGGCAGGCACTTGAGTGCTGAGTGGTGAAGCTTAGCCCTGCCAGGCCCCTGAGCGTTGACAAGGCAGAGGCGCCCTCAGCACACAGCCACAGGGCTGAGCTGGGTGGGGCTGAGCACTGACACCCCAAAACCACAGCTGTCCTGTGCCAGCATGCAACCTGCAGGCGTGTGCCCTCCAGCCCTGCCTGGAGCCCAAGGCGGAGGTGGTGGTGGGTGCCGCCCTGGCCAGGGGGTTGTCCTGGCACTCGGGGCATACCCTGTGCTGGGGGAGGCTCCAGCTTGGAGCAGGCGGGGCTCCCCTACCAGGCACCTTCCACCTGGGCTTCCGGGTCTCCCAGGAGCAGAGCTGCGTCTGCACCTGCCTGTCTCACCACCTGAGGGTGGCCGGCACCGGGCCAGCGTGCCCTCTGCCCTCCCTCTGCACTGTCTTCCCTGCGTCCACCCGCCTGGTGCTCTGCTCGCATCCGCTGGACACGCACAGGTTCTTCACAGGCCCGCGGGGCGAACCGGGGAGACTTCTGGAAGGCACAGATGGGGCCTCCTGCAGGCTTGGCGCTGCCCCTGCCTGGGCTCTCTGCACTGTTCCAGAAGGATCGGGGTCCCCTTCCCTGGGGCAGTTGTGCCCTTCACTCACGTCCTGGCGGCTGGACGGGCTGCTCTCTGGACAGCCATCTAGGGCGCGGGGGCGGGGCTCACTCCTGGCTCAGCGGGGGGCGGGGGGGTTTGTGTGAGCACTGCCAGCCTACGGGCTAGCCCACCCTGCCGCTTCTGAATTGCCCCCATTCCTCAAAAAGAAACGTGGCGCCTTAGACCTACCCGCGCACCCAGCGCTACTCAGACAGCGCAGAGGCCAGTGCGCAGAGGCCCAGGGACCACAGCAGCACAGAGGGCGGCCTGACGTAGACTCAATGCCTCGTGCCTCCCCGCTAAGGCAGGAAGGTGCCCCTGGAGGCCGGGGGTGGCACCAGGGTCCCCAGGGCGCTCTTGGGGAAGGCCCCGGGTACCGCCCCCTGGCAGCGAGCAGCCCACCCCTGGGCATCCAGCGGCTCGAGTTTGACGACGGGTGCGGCCCCAGGGGCCCTGTAGCTGCAGCCTGGGGTGCGGGGCTGGTGGGCCTGCACACAGAGGCCCTGTAGAGGCTCCCGGCTGCGCCCCGGGGGCCCACCCATCATGCCCTGCCCTAGGTGAGGGGCACAGATGGGTAGCTGGCACTCGGGCTCCATCTTCAGGGGCAGCCTGGCCGGGAGGGAGCCCGGTGGTCTCTTGGCCACATCGCTGGCTCCCAGCCACAGCCGGCTCGGGGCCACAGGGTAGCAGTCAGCCGTGTCCTCGGACCCCGAGTCGCTCTCCATCTTGATGGGCAGGGGCAGCAGGGGGCTGCAGGGGGCCCTTGGGGCCAGCAGCACACCACGCAGCTCGGACGCCTCTGAGGGGTAGCCCCCTGCGGGGAGGTACTGCCCCCTGGGCTCTGGGAGCCCATTCTGCAGGGCCCCCTGTGGGAAGGGGCAGCCGGGGTGAGGCTGCCCCTGGCCCTGCCCGCCGCCTGGCCCAACTCTGCCCACGTGGCCCGCACAGGCTCCGGGGGGCCGGCTCAACGGATGAGAGCCGTGCGGATCTGGGAAGGCGGCAAGGCAGCTGGGGGGTGCAGCACGCCGGATGCCTGGGTAGGGGGTGCAGGAACCACGGGCGACGGCGTGCACAGGGAAGGGGGCCGTCCTTCCCTGCTCCAGCTTCTGCTGGGCACCACCCCGACCCTGTCTCCCTCCCGTCAAGTGTGGGTGCTTCGTGGGTCCGGGTGTCTCAAAGGGGCAGCTGTATGCCTGAGGCTCCCTGCGCCCCCTCGGTCCCCAGGAACTGCCGGGCGCCGTCCGGGTCTCCTCCCCTCCTTGGTCCCTGCGGACGAGAGATGCCTGTCAGCTGGGGCACAGGCGACCACAGCTAGTACTTGGGGGTCCCTGAGGGTGCTGGGGTGCTCCTGGCTGAATTTGCAAGGGTTGCCACGTGCCCCAGCCCCCCAACAGTTCCCCCGCCCGTGCTAGCCCCCACAGCCTCCCAGGTGCTCGGCAGGCTCTGCGGGCCCAGGGTGGGGTGCAGAGAGCAGGGTCCGCTGCCCACCCTGCCCCAGGGCGGTGCCCAGGAGGCCCCTGCCACGGTGTAGGCCAGCATGGGGGCAGACGGGGAGCAGGTGCCTCTGTATACCACGGGGCAGGCCAGCCCCCCTGGCAACCCCTGCGTGCCAGACCCTGACACCGCCATGTACCAGGCTGTGGCCAGCCCAGGACTGGGACCCTGGTCGGGACAGGGACTGTGGAGCCTGGCTGGGGCCGGCAGCAGACATGGGTGGGGAGGGCGTGGACAGGGCGGTCACGTGGGCTCGGGGCAGAGGCCCCGTCCAGCTTGGTGGCCACAGCTGAGCCCAATGTCCCCCACTGCTGCTCCCCGGCCAGTGCTGGGGTGCAGGGGTTACTGTGCACCCTCACAGAGACGCGGTCAAGGCCCCGAGCCTGCTGGGCTGCCCCTCTCGTTCTTAAGGCCTGTGGCTCAGCGGCACTTACCCTGAGGCCACGTCAGGGTCGAGGACGAGCTCCGGGCCCGCCCTGAGGCAGGGGCAGGGGCCCCTGGCTGGGACTCGGGCCCAAGGTCCAGCCTCCGCCTGTGGCCAGAACACCGGCACGTTTCCTTCGTCACCCCTGCCTGCATGGACGCAGAGAGGACGTGGCCGTCACTGGGGAGGCGCAGCACCGCGGGCCCGCACCTGACAAATGAGGGGCTTCTGTACCTGCAAAGCAGCTGGACCTGATGGGCACTTCGGACGCACACAGGCCCACGGCTCTTGCCCTGCAGAGAAGCGACAGGACCACGCATGGCCCCGAGGTTGGTGGGAGGCAGCCCTGGGCTGGGGCCTCGGATCTGGGGTCCCCAGCCCCGCCACGACCCCCAGGCCAGCACCGAGGGTCAGAGAGACCCACACTCAAGGCTTCCCTGTGCGTGTGCACACACTCGCGTGCACACACTCACATACCACATACACCACACACACACACATACACAGTCACAGCCACCACACACGCATGTGCACTCATACCCCACACATGCGTGCCTCGTGCCACGCTCACCCCACACTCACCATACGCGTCAGGGCTTGCCCCTGCCCTGCCCCCAGTCCTGCCTGGCTGTGTTTTCACTGTTTCTCAAAAGTGAGCACGAGGGGGCCTCCCCCGGTGGCGCAGCGGTTGAGCGCTGGGCTGCGAAGCTGCCCGCAGCCTCTGCAGCGCCGGTTCGATCCCCGGCCGCTGGCGAGGGTCCCACATGGCGCGCAGACCTCTCCTGCCGCCCGCTGCTCCCCTCAGCAGTGTCCTTCGGTCCTTCTGCCTGCTCTGCTCCCCGCTCTGGCTCTGGTGAATCCTCTCACCCTCCTGCGCTTCTGACTGTACCCAGTGCTTGTGTAAATAAATAAATAAATAATAATAAAAAAAAGTAAGCACGAGGCTCATGAGCGCTGAGTGCCTTGCCCTCACCACCGTCCAGGCACCCCATGGCCCCTGGGCTCCCACATCCCACTGGCGGGGGCACAGACAGACACACCAAGCAGAGACAGAGGCGGGCGGAGTCACAGGGGTGAGGCGGGTGGGTGGTGGGCACCTCGGCCAGGTCTTGCCTTCAGGCTGGCCCCAGGGTGTCCAGGCACGACCCCTGTGGTGCTGCAGTGCAGAGGGGTGGGGCTGACCCTGAACACGGCCGCAGGGGCAGCTTAGCCGGGGCCCTGCTGGCCCCTGCTGGCCCCTGGGGGCCCTGCGTCCAGGGCGGGCTCCATGCTGACCCCAGTCAGCTGAGGACGGTCAGGCAGGCGTGTCCATGAGGCCCAGGAAGTGGGAAGCTGCCTCTTAAAACGTCAGGGGCGTGAACTTTCACTGCCCCCCCTGCGGGGACTTTAATCCTCTCCGGTGCAAGAGAGGGACAGCGAGCTTGCAGGCCAGAAGCGACCTGACTGGCGGGAGCCCACCTGAGCCAGCCCCCTTGCGCGCACCTGCAGGCTTGGCCCGCCTGTGCTGCCCGGCTCGGACGCCAGGGGGCGCGCGTGGGCAGCCGTCTGCTCGCGGGCCGCGGCTGGGGACCGGCCCAGGAGCCCTGCGGGCGTCGCCGCTTGTTTCTGCAGCTTTCCCCCATATTCCAGTGTTCCTCTCTCATATTTCACATTTTGCATCTTTAAAAGCAAGGCACACGTATTTAATTTTAAAGTGCCCAGGACAATAGTTGTCTTGGCGTGTTGGCCACTGTGCAGGTAGGTTGGGGTCTGGAAGATCCCACCCAGGCAGCAGTGAAGGGGCACCAACTCCCGCCCTGGCTGACCGGTCTCAGAAACAGCGGCAACACCCACGGTGAGACCCCAGGTGCCGGCTGGCACCCGCACTGCCCTGGCATCTCCCCTCCAGGGGGCACTCGAGGGGCTGGAAGCCTCTCGGATGAACACGTGTGGACCACGTGGGGTTACAGAGCCCCCAGCCCCACGGCGGGGAGGACTCCTGATGTGTGAATCCGGGGTTGGGGTGTGGGTTTTCAGGGTGACGGGTGAGAACGCAGAGGAGGAAGGGAAAGGGGGGTGTCTGCTGTCTCCCCGCCTGCTGCCAAAGCCCTGGGGCCGTGCGCGGACAGGCAGGTGCACTGGACCAGACCCCCGGCCGGGCCCGCACGGTTCTGGGAAGGCACTGGACACTGCTTACGGGAGGAGGGGGCTGGGCGGGGCCACCTGAGAACAGGGCCCAAGGGGATCAGAGGGGCAGATGAGGCGACACAGACGGCCCTGGGGGAGGCATGAGGGACGGTTGGACGGCCAGCTCCATACCCATGGGCCCAGAGCAAGCGCCCTGGGCCCGTTGTGGAGAGCGGAAGTGGCGGGGAGGGGACTCTGGTCCTTTGCCCTGCAGACGTGCAGCGTCTGTTACCTCATGGGGGAGAGACTAAGTCAGGCCCAGACCGGCCTCTCCCAGGTCTGCACGCACAGCACTGAGGCTGCACCCGCGAAACGGCCACGCCGGGCAGCCTGACCCGTGCCAAGAGGTTCGGCAGGCCCCAGAGAGGACTCAGCCCCAGCCGAGGAGGCCGGGAGAGCTGTCCCCATGGCCCGGGGATGTCTGTTGGGCACTTGCCCCGTGCGTGCCCCCAGGTGTGTGCAGCCTCGGGCACTAGAGGGCCCTCAGGATGGGCATTCCCTTGTCCGGTAGTTGTTTCTACCGGCCTGATATCAGCAGACTTCTCCACCGGCTGTCCTGGGAATGAAGAAGAGCGGCCAGAAGCGGGGCCACAGGGCCTGTGTCACCCCAGGACCCAGTGCCCAGGCGGCTACTCACTTGGCAGCCATCCCGCCCGCGGTGTCCAGCCTGGGCTTCGCCCTCAGGAACGTGCTCTTCATTTTCACCTCTGCCACAGAAGGGAGGAGGACAGGGGCCACGACGCAGAACAGCGAGAGCCGAGGGGGCAGCGCCGTGCCCGAGGGCGCCTTCTGCTGCTGGCCAAACAGGAACTTCAGTTTTCCTTGAAACTGCATGGTCTGGGTTTCAAAGACAGAGGCGAAGGTGTGTTCACAGAGCGAGCCAGCAAGAGGGCCCCAGGCCGGACAGAGGGGTGGCCCACGTGCGGGGGCACCGCTGGGGCTCCTGCACCCCCACGCTGCACCTGGGGACCCAGCCCCCGGCCTCCTCCCGGCCCACCACCCCCTGTCTGACCCGCGGTTCCCACGTGTGACACTGGCTGTGCAGTGTGTGTGGCCTGGGCTGGCGTTTGCTGGACACATGACGTGCGGGGCCCGCTCCACGCCCCCTCCCTGTGCCCCCGGGTCACCCCTCATCACAGTGATGAAACAGGCCTGACGAGCTTGCCGACCCGGAGCGTGCACAAATGCAACAGCCAGCGAGTAGCTGGCGCTGGTGACAAAAGAAAATGAAAGTCCTCCAAAGGGCAGAGAAGCGTGCCTCAGGGGACTAGGGCCCCGTGGCTCCGCCCTCCTCCCTTCGCCCTCCCATCCGCACATTTATCCTGTGGGCTGACGGAGGAGCAAGCACCTGTGTGCCAGTCACGCCTGGTGTGGAGGGTCCGAGGCGAGGTGGCCTAATGCCGACTCTCGGGCCAGGAGCTCGTGTGAGGCGTCCACCAGCACCTTTGGTGCGACTGTGCCCACCGTGACTGGCTCCAAGCTGGCAGCCCACTGCTGACCGACCTGCAGCCTGACTCTGGGCAGCCGGCTCTATGCAGCGCCCGCCTACCCTGGCGGCCCTCACAGCAGCACCGCTTCCCACAAGGGCCCGGGCCATCCAGCGTGTAAGCAGGCACCTGTGGGCAGGCGGCCAGGCCAGTGCAGTGCGGCGCTCCGCTGGCCTCGCGCCCGGGGTGCTCTCACGTCATCCTAATCTGACCTCGGTGTGGCCATATAGGAACCAGCCTCCGAGTCTGGAAATGACCTTCCGATTAACTAGGAATTGCTTGCCTCATTTTTAAAAATGAACATTTCTTTTCAGTCAAGAAGCAATAACTCAGTTTCCACAAGCTTCAGAATGAAATAGTATCCCATAAAGACTCTGTGGTCAAACAAGGGAAGTGGGTGGGGTGGCCCCTGCCGCAGAGCCTGGCTCCCCCTGAGAGCGCCAGCTGGGCCTGGCCTGCAGCCTCAGAACTGGCTCCAGGACGCACCCACAGTCACCCACCAGCCACCTCCCTGCTGCGCCTGGATCCAGAGAATAAGATCCAGGGCTTGGGAAGCTGCCACTTCCCTCCAGATGGTCAGGAGGAGATGGCGGGCGCATGCCCCCTTGTCCCCGCACTTCGGGGCACCAAGGGCAGCACCTGAGGCCGATGCAGGGCTCTGGCAGTGCAGCATCTCGGGCGGGGACCCCTGGGAGGCTAGCCAGGGGCCACTTAGGGAGGAGGAGTCTGGAAATGGAAGGGGGTCCCCAAGAGGGCAGGCCCAGTGGGGAGGAGTGGGGTGTGGAGAGCTGGGGCTTCAAACCCTTTGAGAATGTAACAGGGTCATGCCTGGAGAAAGGGCCAGGGTGGGTCTAAGGAGGGAGGGCATTCCATTCTCTTCTGAAGCAACTGATTTTTATTATGGACAAGTGATGTTTTCATTAAAAAATAATATCCAAAGTCAGCTACTAATGCAAAAACAAAACCAACCAACCAAGAAGGAAAGGCTGGTGGGCAATGGTGCAGGCACCCCAGCCCAAGGGGGGCTCTGTGGGTGGGCAGGTGCAAGCCTCAGTCCCCGCAGTTCATGCACACCTGAGCGCCTACTGGGCATGCAGGCTGCCCTGGCCCAGCTCTGGTGCTTCTGCAAACCCCTGGGGACCCCTCGAGGGCCAGCGGTCTAGGGGTCTGGGGAGAAAGCACAGGGGCAGCTCTGCACACACCCTCTTGAGGCCTTCCCAGCGGAGCTGCCGGCTCAAGCCTATGTTAGGCCCTGGGTCTGAGGGTCTGGGGTTCAATTACTGCCCAGGGACAGGGCAGAGTGGGGACCCAGAGGAGACAGTGCCAGGGTGGGTGGGGGAGGCCCGGGGGCACGGTGGGGCAGGCAGAGTCCCCAGGAGGACATCCCTCCGGCCCCCGTCCCCAGCAGTGAGGAGCCCAACAGGGGGACCGGACACCCCACCTGAAGGCCGAAGCCAGGCGCGCGGAGGGTCCGGGCAGGCCCCTCTGCACAGCGCGGGCAGCGCAGTCGTCAGTGGACGTCAAGGCGCGAGGTGAGGAGCAAACCCACCCGCGGGCCTCCCGCCGCCCGCTCCCGCCCGCGCCCGCAGGTCGGCGCCTCCCCGGGCGCGTGAGCCGCTCACCAGGAAGCCGGAGGTGCTGTCCAGCAGGCAGCGCACGCGGCAGACGAAGCAGCGCGTCAGGAAGGCCGAGAGCTCGGGGGGCCCGCCCGCGCCCTCCTGCTGCGCCCTGAGCAGCCGACCCAGGACGGCGTCCTCTCCGGGCCCTGCGGGCAGCAGCCGGCCCCGCGCCAAGAGAAGCCGAGAGCACGCAGGTGAGGCCGAGGAGAAGCCGAGAGCACGCAGGTGAGCCGAAGGAGAAGCCGAGAGCACGCAGGTGAGGCCAAGGAGAAGCCGAGAGCACGCAGGTGAGGCCGAGGAGAAGCCGAGAGCACGCAGGTGAGGCCGAGGAGAAGCCGAGAGCACGCAGGTGAGCCGAAGAGAAGCCGAGAGCACGCAGGTGAGCCGAAGAGAAGCCCAGAGCACGCAGGTGAGCCGAAGAGAAGCCCAGAGCACGCAGGTGAGCCGAAGAGAAGCCCGAGAGCACGCAGGTGAGGCCGAAGAGGAAAGCCGAGAGCACGCAGGTGAGCCGAAGAGAAGCCCAGAGCACGCAGGTGAGGCCGAAGAGAAGCCGAGAGCACGCAGGTGAGCCGAAGAGAAGCCCAGAGCACGCAGGTGAGGCCGCGGGGCCCGGCAGAGGTCGCGCCTCCTCCCGGCCCCGCCCCGCCCCGCCCCCGGCCCCCCCGCCCCGCCCCGGCCCCGCCCCAGGGCCCGCCCCGGCCCCACCCCGGGCCCGCCCCCGGCCCCGCCCCCACCCCCAGGGCCCGCCCCCGGCCCCGCCCCGCCCCCTCCTGTGCCCCCACCCCTGCTTGGGCAGCTTCCCACGCTGGGGTCCCTCCCTGTCCTTCCTCCGGCAAAGTCGGGGGGGGGGCGGGGGGGGCCTGCGAGAGTCCCCCGCCTCCCAGGTGGACGAGCCGGCCACCTGCCCGCGCCGCTGCCCTTGGGCCGCCGCCGGACGGGGCAAGTCCGGGCGCGGGGGGCGGTCTGGGGGGCGCGGGGGTCCCCGGGCTCCCGCGGGTCTCGGGGGCAGCAGCGGGCCGGGCCCGCCCTGCTCGGGCACCCACCGGGGTCGGCGCGCGGCCCGGCGCGGGGCGGGTCCATGGCCCAGTGCAGCTGGCGGCGGAAGTCGGGCCGGTCGTCCACGTGGATGTAGTCGAACACGCTCTGGTGCAGCACGTCCGTCTGCAACGCGGGCCGAGCTGGACGCCACCGCCCGCAGCTCACGGCGGGGCCTTCGCCGAGCCGCCCGCGCGCCCAGGGGCCCCTCCGGCCCGCCCGCCCGCCCGCCGCCCGCCGCCCGGCTCGCCTGGCCCGCCCCGCGCGGCTCACCTGGTGGAAGCCCAGGTGGTCCAGGATGGTCGCCGACGCGTAGAAGATCATCCCGTCCGCGCTCACGACCAGCGCGAAGCCGCTGAGGGACTGGGAGAGACGCAAGCGGCGCGGTGGCACACAGGGGGCTGCGCCCCGGCCCGGCCCGCCCCGCCCGTCGCGGCCCGGCGCCCCAAGGGCTGCCTTCCAGAGCCGCCCCCGCCAGGCCCTGCCTCCTCTCCCGAGGGCGAAGGTGGCGCGGAGGGCGCGGAGGGCCGCCACTGCCATGTCCACACCCGGGAGATGACCCCGACGGCTGCCAGCCGGCCCTTCCCGGCCTCCGGAGCGGCGCTGGGCGCTGGGGGAGAGCCTGCAAGCGGGTCTCCCCACTTTGGCCTCCGTTTCCCCCACCCCGTGACCCCCTCTGGGGGCTGGGGGTGGGCTGGGCCAGCGCTCAGGCCTCTTGCGACGGTCACCTCCTGGCCCTCTCGAGGGTCTCCTGGCCACGCACCCCTTCACCTTCCTGGGGCTGCTGCGTGTGGCCCAGGGTGCGCGGGAAGCAAGAGGCGGGTGCTGCCCTCTGACCCCTGCGGTGGCCTCCAGAGCCCTCCGGGCGCGCGCCGGGCCCCTGTGGGGTCCCTCCCCGCCCTGACATCCTGGCATCCCCGGGAAGGGCGCAGGTGCCCCCGCGGGGCCAGCGCGGGCCAGGAGGCAGGAAGCACAGCAGTGCCCGCTTCTCACCATTCCTGGCCGCGACGGCACTTTCCTTGTATTTAAAGCTTTACCAGTTTGATAGTGGATAAGTCGTGGCTGGTTTAGCTTTCACTTGGACTAGCAAGACCGAAACCAGTTCACATTGGTCGGTGGCTGCCCTGCATCCCTGCCGGCTTCTCCAGGGGCTGGGGACGCCATCTCCCAGGGCACTCACAGTGGTGCTTCCCCGCAGCTGGGAGGTCTGCCCACACCCGCACCGCCAGCACCTCCAGCCTCTGCGCAGGGTCGGGGAGAGCCAGCACAGCCACAGGCCCCCCGCGAACTGCCACCCCCACCCCCCACGACCTGGCCTAAGGCAGACGCAGCAAGAATTCTTTGACCAGTCAGGTTATAGAGATCACCCATGGTGAGATCTTGATTCTTTGAAAAGATGAAAAAATTGACAACCCTCTAGCAAGACTGTCAGGAAAAACACAAATTACTGACAATAGGAATTTAAAAGACTCCCTCTAGGCATGAAGAGAGTAGCGGGACAGCATTAAGAATGGCAGACATAGGGGCCTCCCTGGTGGCGCAGCAGGTTGAGCGCAGCGCTGAGAAGCTGTCCGCAGCCTCTGCAGCGCCGGTTCGATCCCGGCTGGCCAGGGGGCTACTCACATGGCGCGCAGACCCCTCCTGTCTCCCCACTGCTCCCCTCGGCAGTGTATTTTGGTCTGTCTGCCCGTTCTGCTCCCCACTCTGTCTCTGGTGAATTCTCTCACCCTCCTGTGCCTCTGGCCTGTACCCCAGTTCTTGTATGCATAAATAAATCTTTAAAAACAAAAAACACCTCAGAAGATGGACAGGCGCAGAGAGGCGGCCTGGATGGGACACAGGGCCAGGGCCTGGGCAGTGGGCACCCACCCCAGGGGCCCAAGGTGGTCCTTGCACCAGGAGGGCATGGGAGAGCCCGGGGCCAGGCCTGGACAGCCTGGTCAGAGCCTCAGTGGCTGTGGTCAAGGCCACGCAGTGCTTGCGGGAGCCCAGACATGCGGTCCTGGCCCATGGGGCACAGTGCGTGTGTGTGTGTGTGTGTGTCCGTGCACAGGTGTGACCAGGCCACACCCCGGCCACGCCCCCACCCGGCCCGTAGACCTCTGCAGGCCCACTCTCCCAGCGTGGTCATAACCCCTGGCTATGCCGGCTGCGCCCACGTTCCAGTCTGGCTCCGGGACAGACACAAGAACAGAGAAAGTCGGGGAGTCGCCTCAAGCTGCCAGGACTCAGGGCCTCTTCCTACGGGGCTCAGTCTGCAGCTCAGCGGCTGTGCCGTGGGGAGCCGGCAACCCGCCTTCCTGGTGCTGGAGTTTTGGTGTAAGGCGGCCACCAGGCCCCACTTCGGGACAGGGCCCCTCCTCCCTTCTTGCTTCTGGGTGTCCCCTCTGCTGGCACAGGCCACAGGGGTGAGCCCCCATGGGCTTCCTCAGGCCGCTGGGCAGGGCCCCCTGACCCCCGCGGCTTCCTCCATGCTCCAGGGCGGCCCACGGCCTCCCCGTGTTCATCTCCCCGAGGTTCCCAAAGTTCAGTGTTAACCAACCACCCAGACAGGCCCCTTCCTCATTCCCGCGCAGACGGTGCTCAGAGCCGCTGGCTGGAGCAGTCCGTCCAGCAGCGGCTGCTGGGTCCAGGGCTAGCCCCTGAGCTGGTGGGCACGGCGGGCAGGCTCGGGCACAAAGCCGTGGACCGCCGCGGACCGCCGCCGGCTGCCACTCTCCCTGCCGTCTCCTCTGGGTGCTCTCCGGGCTGCTGGGAGCGCACTGGTGTCCCGGCCATGCTGGGCGGCCAGGTGTGGGGAGGGCCGCCAGCAGCACACAGCCCCTAAGGCCCGGCAGAGGCCCTCCAGCCTTAGGGGATCAAGGCCCATGAAAACAGGCCTCACCGCTGGACCCCAGCATCCCTGTAAGAGGGTCATGTGCATCCACCCGCAGGACCCACAGGCTCACAGGCTGCACTGCTCGGCCCTTGGCCCCTGGGCGCTCCGTGGTGGCGGCTCTGGCCCTTCCTCTCGGGCCGTGCTGGGGCCCCCAGGCGGCCCCAAGGAGAGGGAGCAGCCCAGCCAGCTCCCCCTCCCTAGCCCCTGCAGCCCTGCCCGCATCTGGGCAGGGGTGGGTGGGGCCTTGGGGCTGCAGGCTTGGGGCTCACTCAGTGCCGGTGCCGCCCCGCACACCCGTAGGGTGAGACCCAGCCCCTGCCGGAGCCGGGGCCAGGTGGCCTCTGCTGGGGGGGCAGGTGTGGCCAGAGGCCCAGGTGAGTGCGGGGCCACTGAGCCACCAGCTCCCGCCCAGCCCCCAGGTCCGCTCTGCCACATACAGATGACGTCCTGCTAATAATAGTTCAAAGACCAAGGAAATTTTCAAGGCTTGAGTATATAAAATGCCTTCTTAAAAAAGATTTTATGAGATTAGTCACAACCAAAAACAACCTTAATTTTAACTACAAGGCAAAAATTTTTTCAAGACCATAGAACGCTGCTTCCCGAGTCATATGGATTCAATATCGGCGGACGCGGGCCGAGTCCCACGCCAGACACTCACACACATGTGGGCCGCCTTTCAAGTTTGCATCGCGAACGCGTGTTTGTTCTGCCTTTCTCTTTTTAATCCTACAAGAGTTTTAAAAACACACACACACAAAACATGGCACATGGAAAATGAGGTCACTTTTCCAAGTGGAAAAAGGATCTGGCCCCGAGCACCAGGCGGCACGGCTGTCGGCAGCACCTCGGCCAGCCGCAGCCAGGGTGGGCGCACCTGCCACCCGCTCGCCCCAGCCCCTCAGCCCTGGCAACCCCGGCCTCCCTCGCCCCAGACACCCCCTCCCCCGGCCCCCCAAAAGTGTCTCCCGGCCGGGACTTCCTTTGGCAAACTCTTAAAACCTCCTCATCTCTTCCAGTCCCACGGCAAAAAAAAACAGCCAGCGAGGACTTCAAAGATCATTTCGTCAAGGTCAAGGCAGAGCAAAAAAAAAGAGGGAGAAAGCAGCAGCTCCAGCGCCCCCTCACAACCCCCCCAGCCGTCGCCACAGCAACGGAGCAACAACGCCAAGGCCGAGCCGGCTAGTCACGCGAGGGGCACTGGGCGGCGGCGGGCAGCTGCCGCCCGCTGGAGTCGGATCACTTGTGGCCGCCGCAGGGCCTGCGTGCGTGGGGCAGCGTCGGGCTGTTTGCAGCCCCCAGGGCGGCGGACCCGGCAAAGGCCTGCCCGGCGGCCGAGCCCTCGGAGGCGGCAGGGCCACGCGGGCAGGAGCAGGCCTCCCGCTGGGGCTCAGACCTGGGAGGGCCGGGGTCAGGCCTGGGCTGCAGCAGCCAGCCGAGCCTCGAGCCCGCCTGCCCGCAGCCAGTTCAAAGCCCTCAGCCCAGTGCTGCCGTGTGGACTGTGAGACCCCGGCCGCCCGTGGAGGCGGCCAGTGGCGGGGACTGCGCCCCCTGAGCGCCCCCAGCCAAGCCTCTGCCTGGCAGCCGGGAGCCGCTCCAGCCCTTCTGGAACAGACTCTGGCCCTGGACACGCTTCCGGCTTCTCTGCACGTGGGCGGTGACTCCCAGGAGGCTGCTGCCTCACCGCAGGAGGAGAGGGGGTGCTGGCCGCAGGCTTGGGAAGGAAGCTCCTCCAGGGCCGTGGCTCTGCCCTCAGGGCCAGCTGTGCACCCGCATGGGGGGGCCATGGGCCTGGTCCCGCACCACCGTCTGCCAGGGAGGGTCCTGCAGGCATCCGAGGGCCCCCTGCGTGGCTGGTGGCTGCACAGCGTGCCACCCAGCTCTTGGGGTGCCCAGCAGACTCTCAGGGTGCCGCCCGACTCTCAGGGTGCCCAGCAGCCCAGATGAGACCTTCAGGGCAATGGGCATTGAGCTGCACCGGCCATGGGGGCGCATGCACGGCTGGCCAGGCCCTAGAACCTGCAACCTCACCAGGGTTGCAGCCACCCGCTGGCCTCCAGGGGCTGGAGTTAGGCTGGGGCAGGGCCTGGACATGTGCCCCAGGCAGCGAGAGCCCAGAGCAGATCAAGGCCTGAGTGATCTCCACTAACTGGAAAGCGGTGTGCCTGCTCAGTGACCACAGGCCATCCAAGGCTGGTGGTGGACGGTGGGGCTGGTGGGGGATGGTGGTGGACGGTGGGGGCTGGTGGTGGACGGTGGGGCTGGTGGTGGACGGTGGGGGCTGGTGGTGGACGGTGGGGCTGGTGGTGGACGGTGGGGGATGGTGGTGGATGGTGGAACTGGTGGTGGACGGTGGGGCTGGTGGTGGACGGTGGGGCTGGTGGTGGATGGTGGCGGATGGTGGGGGGTGAAGGTGGATGGTTGTGAGCTCTCAGGGAAAGTCCTAGGGCCAGGCTTTGGCAACGCTGGACGCCTGAGCCAGCCTCTGAGGAAGGCCAGGGCTGCTGCCCTACAAGAGGCCTGGCCTGACAGCTCGCAGCCGGGGCCATGCTGTGGATGGCCTGAGCATTAGCTGTCTGACCATGACACTCCGCCTGTCCTGTGTGGGCGCTGGATGTGGTCCCGCGTGCTCTGGGTCACGCTGCCTCCTGGCCTAGCATGTGGCTGTGAAGGCCAACAGCGACAGCGGACGCCGAGGGCTGGGCCCGGGCAGCACTGTATGTATCTCCTCTTGGTTTGCTCTTGTTGCTCCTTGTCCTGGTTTTGCTTGTGAGTCTCTTCTTGCCCCTCAGGACACGGCCGGCAACGGCCTGGGCTTGGGCGCCCACAGGAGCCTCCCGGGCCACGGCCGTCGAGGGGCCATGGGGAGAAGCCAAGGCAAGGCCCCACAGGGGGCTTCCTTGCGGGGGTGGGGTGGGGCCTCACCCAACGTCCAGGCGACTTCCTGTCATGTGACGTCCAGCGGGGAGAGGCCGGTGTCCAGGCTGTCAGAGCTGTGGGTGTGGCTGCCAGGGTCTCCCCGACAGAGCCATGCGGGGCTTTCACAGGCCACGCCTGCTGCCCGGGCCTCTCAGCCACACGGGGCTGCCCGTCCATAGGGGCAGCAGATGGTGGTGGCTCTGAACTGGCGAAACCCCTCCCAGGCGTCCGCGCCAGCCTGCAGGCCCAGCAGCCGTCCCGTCCAGTGGGGCAGACGATGGGCCCCGGCATCCCCTGCTGCGTCCGGCAGTGCCCGGCAGCTGTCCTGACTAGGGGTGCAGATGGTGGGCCCCAGTGTCCCCACTGGTTCTGGCTGTGCTCGCTCCTGTCCCTCTGCCTCCTTCCAGAAGGTGTGGCTGCAGGCTGGGAGCCCCTGTGCCCCGTCCCCACGGCCCCTCCTCTGCACCGCTCCTGGCACGTCGGCTGCCCGCAGGGGCTCTTGGGCGCCTGAAGCGGCCCCTCGGGAGATGGGGCCTGGGCCTGCACTGCGGGGCCTCACCGCTGCCCACGGCCTCTTCCCCGGGTCCAAGGCGTGTGTGAAATCGCACGGCTATGGCCACACGCCGCAGCTTCCTCCGTCTAGACTCACTTTTCAGCCTCTGGCCACCGCCCTCTCTACCTGGCCCCCAAGGCCCATACTGGGCTGCCCTGGAGCCTCATCAGCATGGTCACGGGCCCCCTGATGGCCAAGGACAGCCGGGCCGTGAGCTTGCTTGCACCACGTGTGCCCTGCCCCACGGTGCCCCAGCCGGGGGTCACCGGCCTCCCCACCTCACGCCAGTGCCTGGCCGCCCGGGCAAGCAGCCTGGCTCCTGGTGCCACACGCGCGTGAAACACTTGCTGGATGCCGCCTTCTGCCAGCTTCTGTGTTGACCAGCCTCCGCCGGACACCATCCCGCCTGGCAGCCTGGCCACCTGTGGGGCCCAGTGGGCTGAGACCAGGCCGGATCACCCCCCTGGTTGCTGGTCTCCCCAGGACACAGAGGCTGACCCCAGGCCTGGACCTCTGTGGGGCCAGGGCACTGGGTGGCCGACAGCACCAGAGGCCGTGAGGTTCATCCACGATGGCGACGGTGGCTGGGGTGGGGTGCCACCCACCAGCTCCCTGCCACCCCGAGGCCCCTCACTGACCGCCACACCCATGACTCGCCAGAGCTGGAGGACGGCGCCCAGCAGTGGGGGCCTCGATCCGGTGCGGGTGCTGCAGTGGGCAGGGGAGGGAGACCATGGGCAGGCAGGGCTCTGCTGGCCAGACCAGGCTCGCGGAGGAGACAGAAACGGCCCGCTGGCCCGCGTGGGCCATGGCTGGTGGGTCACAGAACAATCCGGCCAGCAGGGCCTCTGGCCAGCTGGAAGTCACCGCCACGGGGGGTGGCAGCCTGTGCCTTGGCAAGGGCGGGGATCCCTCCTCCGAGCCCCGCCAGCTCCGGGTGTGCCCAGGGCCCACCGAGTGGCTCACTCTGCGCTTCTGCAGACGCAGGCCCCTGACTGCAGCCAGTGGTTCTCCCTCGTGAGACCGGGGCCTGCCGGCCACCATCTCACCCAGACCCCTGGCCAGGTAGGCGAGGGGCCCCAAGCTTTGGGGTGTGGGCAGCTCTGGACCCGCCTGGCCGGCCAGGTGATGGCCTCCGCGCAGGACCAGGACCGGGGCTGAGCCTGGCCCCAGGGAGCAGCGTCCACTCTGAGGGGCTGGGCCGCCCGGCTGTGGGGGCCAAGAGGCACCTCTCAGGAGAGGGAGAAAAGGCAGTGGGTCTCGGCTGAGAACCAGACGCAGCAAGAAAGACATGTGGGGACCGAGCCAGGAAGGGCGCCTGCAGCCAGCACAGGGGGCAGCATGGGGGGGCCTCCCGGGGCCCGTGGAGACACTCTCCTCCACTCAGAACCCCAGTGGCCCGTCCTTGGGCGACCCTGCGAGGCCGAGCGTGTGCTGACGCTTCCCAAAGACTCCACGGGAAGAGCCGTGGGGGCAGCAACCACCGGGAAGATGGGGGCAGAACAAGGACCCCCGATGGAGCAGAACTGAGGTAACCTGCACCTTCCAACGGCCCCGCATCTGCCCAGACCTGAAAATACAGATGAGGGGGCAGGCAGCCCGAAGCCAAGGCTGTGCCTCTGAGGAAAATCAACGTGAGGAAGCCACGTGGGAGACGCGTGCCCGGGGCGCGGGGCGGACAGGGCGTGGCAGGCGCCTCGGGGCTGGAGGGAGAAGAGCTTCAAGACGCGGCTCTCAGAGATGATGCACCGATATGCTGGACTCTGCTGAAGGCCTCCCCACAGGACTCCGGATAGCGTGAGCCAGTGCAGGCTGTAGGGGAACACGGGGGTGGGCCCAAGGGGAGCCCAACGTCCTACAGGGGCCCGAGGCTCCCGGGGCCCCCGGAGGCAACAGCACAAGGCACACTCCCATCAGTGGCTCAACACTGCCACAGAAAAGACGCAGAGTCTGGTGACGGTGCCCCCGGCGGGGTCCCCAGGTGCCGCACAGCCGGCCCCACCCACGGCAGCCTGGCGAGTGGTTCCCCTTCCAGTGACGCTGGGAAGCAGAGTCAGAGGGCTCAGTGCGGGGTCAGCAGACGGGACAAGACCTCCGTCCGGATTCAGATCAAGGTTTGGACGGGCCCATCCACATGTGTGGCCCCTGGAGGCGCCCGTGTCCTGCCAGGCTGGACCTCAGGCCTGGGAGACTCTGTGGGCGGCGACGAGAGGCCAGACCCCAAAGGCCCCAGGGCTCAGGCAGCAGGCCCCTAGCAGCAGCGATGCCCAGCCGGAGCAGGGACAGCGGGCACCGCAGCCTGGTCTGGTCTGGACCAAGAAGGAGGCTCAGCACAAACTTGTAGGTGCCAGAAAATCCTCTGGGCGGCAGTGCCCTGGCAGGGGTCAAGCAGAGGCCTCGTACTGCGCTGACGGTGCCACCACCTGGGAGCGGCCCGGCTGACCCCAGGCGCCTCGGCCTGCACCGCAGTTCAGAGCCAGCCTCATCCTGCGCGCAGGATGTGGAGCAGAGCCGGGCCTCCCGCCAGCAGTGACGTCCTGACTGGTGCCCCCGTCCCTGCTCAGCTCACTCACATAGCTGGCAGAAAAAGGCAGTTTTAAGGAAAAATAATTAAGAGTACTTAAGAATTTGCTTCCTTAAGAGTTGATAGATAACAAACTATGCAAAGAGCTCCCCGGGCGGACTGCAGTATCTGCAGACCTATGCTCTGCCCCGGCCCACCTGGGCCCCAGCGGACCCCCTGAGCAGATGGCGGGTCCCCATGTTCACCAGGCGCCCTGGAAATGGAGACGCAGGCCCCTCAGGCTTTGATTCTTTACAAAGGAAATGACCTATAAGCTCGTTAATCCTCAGAAGAGCACCCAAGTCCTCAGTGGGGCCAGAGAAGTAGGGGGCCATGGGGGCTGCGGGGGCTGCGGGGGCTGAGGACACAGGCGCCAAGCCCCATCCAGCACCCAGATTCCGTGCTGTAAACATCTCCTGCTCCCCTCAGACTGATCCTTCTGTCCATCCGTGCACCCGCACCCTCTGGGCGCCCACTGGTGCTGTGCAGGGGCAGAGTGGTGAGTGCTGGACACAGCGCAGGGTGACAGAAGGTGCCACGGACAGAGGGGCCCCGGGGACCAGGAGCCACAGCTTGAGTGGAGCCCAGAGAGCCCTGGGGCACAGCGTGGAGGCCGTGGTGACTGCGTGGGAGCCCAGCTGGGTCTGAGCCCCCGCCCCACCCAGGGCACCCGTGGCCACCCCACGCCCCACTCAGGGTGCCCCCGCCAGCCCGGGCTCACCTCCAGCAGCAGCCTCCCCTCCGGCACGGGGAGCCCCCCGTGGGGACATCTGTCTCCTGGTGTGGGGGCACCGGCCTCTGGCTGCGGGCTGGGCGCCTGCATGGCTGTCAGGGCACAGAGCACAGGACTCAGCACCCCTGGGCCCAGGGTCCTGCCTGCCCTGCGCTGACCGGCCCTCCCAGCTCCGCAGCCCCACGCCGGCTAGTGGGGAGGGAGGGGGCAGCCCAGCTGAGGCCTGGGCATCAGGGCTGGGCCTGGACCCCAGGAGCCCCCCACCTGAAGCTGCTCAGCCTGCTGGCCTCAGGGTATCCCCTCCAGACACCCAAACATAGGCGGACCCTGCCCCCACCAGGACAACCCCACCCCCTGGGCCACCTCCAGGTCTGGCCTCACCTCCCCATCACGGTGAACCTGACCTGCTCCATGTGCCCCTGCATAGGGTTGGGGGGCCAGGCTGTGGGGGGAGTAGGGGCAGGCAGGCAGCCTCACCTGGCCTATAAGGGCTCACCGTCCCATGGTGGTGGCCTTGGGGTGCCATCTCAGCGCCTCCCTCCCCCCGGGGTCACAGGCATCTCCCGCGACATGGCGAGCTTCAGCCCACGCAGTCCCAGCACCAACCGACCCTGTCTACCCCCTGCGGCCACCCCCAGCCACCATCAGGGAGCGCAGCCCTCCTGGGAGGGCGCAAGGCCCATGATTACAGACGTGGTCATTTGCTCTTGAGCACAGGCCTTTGAGAGAGAGCACACAGGCTAGAGAGAGCACAGGCAGGGCACCTCCACCACCAGGGAGACACAGGTCCCGGGCCCCAGCCCAAGGGCGGCTTCTGCTGTACCAGGGCCTGGGGTGCACCCCTGGCCTGAGGCGCCCAGCGCCTCTCCCTGTCCCATGCCAACCAGGGACAGAGACCCCAGACCCCGCCCCACTGAGCTGCACAGCTGAGCTGAAGGACCCTCCCCCCCCCACCCCCTGCAGAGGCCACACTGGCCTCCTCCTTAGCCTCCCAGTTCCCGGGCGGGGTGGGGGCCAGTGCAGGCCGGCCGGGGCCTGGGCAGAGGCCTCTCAGGCCACCCTCCCTCGGGAGTTGGCGCTGCCTCACCCACCTCCCACAGCCCCTCGGCAGAAAGCGAGGTCCCTCCCTCCCTGCGCAGAGCCCGAAGCCCCCCACCGGTAACACAGTGCGTGAGCAGGGACGTCGTGGCGTCTGCTTGTCTTCCTTTCCGTTACCCAGCAGCTGATGGGCATTAAAAGTCATAAATACGCTGCACTCAGAGGCCCCAAGGGGCAGCGCCCAGGGGTGCCAGGCCCCAGGGGGCCTGGCCGGCACAGGCTGCCCAGAGGCTGTGGGTCCCCAGGACCTAAAGAAAGGAAAACACCCCCACTCCTGCCTCTGCCAGCACAGGAGAAACAGATGCTCTCCCACGCCCCCCACGCCCAGCCCCCCACGCCCGCCCCTCCCAACTCCCCTCCCCCCAACCGTGCCCCCAGGCCCCGCCCCCACCCTCTGGAGTGGGGGGCCCATGACCTCCAGAGGACCCCGGGCCACCCAGAGGCTGCCGTCCAGCCTGGAGGCCACGTCTCTCCTCCGTGGCTGGGACGCACCAGGCAGACTGGGGTCCGGGAGTGAGCGGTCCAGGGAGGGCCAGTGCCCGTGCAGCCGACACCCCCACCTCCAGCACAGCAGCCTCCTTCCTCCTGCCCCGCCCCCCAGAGTTCCCCAGCAGAGCCTCAGCCAGGGCTGCAGGCTTGGGGCCCAGAGCTCTGCTTCCCTGCAGACCCCGACCCGGGGTCACAGGCCCCGCCCACCTCCACACAAGGCACAAGTGGGGAACCCCAGCTCCCACGTTTTTCCCCTCTCCCACTTGTCTGCACTGGGACATCAGGCACCCCAGTCCCGGCCTGGCCCCCATACCACCCCCCAACTTCTCTCCAGGCCGACCTCTGCACCAGGACACCAGACCCCCCCAGCATCGCGTGCACCCCCCCGCGGGCACCCCACTTCCCCTCCTCTGCAGCCACATTCCGGAGGGGGCACGCCCACCGCCTCCTCTCCTGTCACGCGATGGGGCCATCAGCGCCACAGTGACAGCCGCCTGGACCCCAGCCAGGGCCTCGCGTGCGAGCGGGCGCCCCGCCCCCAGCCTGCGGCCAGACGGGGAGCCCGCGGAGCCGCCCCGCCCCGGAGTCCGGCAGAGCTGAGTCTGGGCCCTCCGTGGCCAGGGAAGCCCGGGGCGGGATGCAGGGCTGTCGGGATCTCCCCCACCAGGGCTGCCGGCCTGCGGGGATCCAGGGGAGGCCCGTGCAGAGGACCCAGCCCCAGCGCTGGGCAGACCCGGCCCCCGACCCGGTCCGCCTGCGACCCTGCCCCCCGTCGACTATGTCCTCGGCCTCCTTGGCAGTTTTTATACAAACCAGCCGAGGCCTCCCAGCCGGGAAGGGACCTCTGGGGGCAGCGCCGCAGAGACCCCAGCTGAGCTGCTCAGAGGCGGGTGGCCCCTGGGGCCCAGGGCTCACCGGCGAGGGGGTGGGGGCGGGCGGGAGAGGCCCCGGCACGCAGAGGGGCCTGTGGGGCTGGCAGGCAGCCGTGGGGAGAAGGGACCAGTGGACCCCAAGAACCTCAGGCCACAAAAGCAGGTGCCTCAACAACAACAGGTTCAGGGCCAGGCTGCAGCCCCCCGCTCCCCACTCCAGCGTGAAGCTCCACAAGCGACCGGGCTCCAAACGCCTGGAAGGCACCCCACTTCCACCACCCAGCCCCGCAGCTGAACCCCCGCTTCCTTCAGCCCCAGGAGCTGGGGCGCACCCTCAGGCTGGGCTGGGAGCGCCACGGCGCACTCCCCCGCGGAGGGGCGTCGAGCAGGCAAGCTGTGGAGGCACTTGTGAGTCTCGGCACGCTGGAGGGACGCGCCGGCTGAGGGCCTGGGTGACGCCTCAGCAGAGCCGCGGGAGCAGGCAGGTGCCCCCCTGAGCTGGGCTGGGCTGGCGGCCGCTCAGGCGGGACCTTGCCCTCCTGTGTGGTGACCTCGCGCGTTGCCCTGCCTGGAAGCTCTTGCTTGGCGACACCCTCGCCCTCAAGTCCTCACACACCCTTGTGCCCTCACGCGGGCGGCCGGTCACGTGAGTGCGGGGTCACGGCCCTGCAGGCCCACGTCGTGCTCTCCCGCCAGGCTCGCGGCCCTGGCCCTGCACGTCCACATTGACACCTCTGCTGTCACCTGCGGGCAGCTGGTCTCCTCTCAGGTTAGGTGGCCCTCTGACCACGAGTATTCCTGATGAGCCCACTCTGCGGTGACCCCCGCTGACCGCTGGGCTGGAGCAGGGGCCCCAGGCCCTGCCAGTGCCCTGGCCTCTCGCTCGAAGGACCAGGTCCACGCTGCCACAGGCCTGTCAAGCACCCCGCGGGCTCGCACCCCAGCCTTCTGAGGAACATGCGTGAGGGAAACCACACGCAGACACAGAGGGGCCCTTGCTTGTGCAACAGACATGCAGGCCAGCGCCTGCCCAGCACCCGGGGCGTCTGCAGTGAAGGCCTTGGGCCAGCTCCCCTCAAAAAGCAACTCGCTGAGGCCTTGACGGACTCAGCCCCCGCTTCAGGCAGGAGGCGCTGGATTAGGACCCACTCCTCACAGCCCGACTTTGGACGACAGTGGACACGACCTCAGGAAATACACAGCTTGGGGCCACACACTTTGGGGTCCTGGGAAGCTCGTGTGACAGAGAGCTTGCAGCCACCTGTAGCAGCACCCGCCCTCGAGGCCCCAGGACCACGGCCTCTGCTCCCTGGGCCGGGGCCTGGCAGGATAGGCAGTCTCAGCCCTTGCTACCGTGGAGGCCAGGCAGCTGTCCATTTGCAGGAATCGGGGGTTCTGAGGCACCCCCTGGGCCTGGCGGCACAGCTGACCCACTGGGCTGTGGCGCACAAGTGGGGGCTGCTCCCACCCTGTATCTCACACAGTGATGGAGACAGCCACACTTTGGATGGCAGCCCAACCTTGCATCAGATCACAGCCCTGCTGGGGCCGCGCTCACCTGCCCAGTGTGAGCACTGCGGAGCCTCCTGCTGCATGAGCTCAACACCTGCCCAGCAGCCCTGGGCATGGGGTGGAGCCCAGAAGTAGAGGTGGAGCCTTGGGGGTGCGTGGAGAGCCCAGGTGGGGTGGGGCCCAGGTGGTGTGGGGCCCTGGGTGCAGGGGAGGGGTCCAATGGGCTCAGGATCTCCATTGGATGCATTGGGAACAGCATCTATATGTCCCTGGTGGCTGGTCCCAGGCGGACAGCAGCCTCAAAGCAAACTGGACCCCTGGGGAGAAGCAGGCCCTGCAGCTGGCCGCCAGCCTGCTGGCCCAGTCCCTGCTGCAGAGCCCACATGGCCCCGAGCTCAGGCTGCGCCACAGGCGCCCAGGAAAGGCCTATTCTGGGCCCGCCCTGGGGCAGCGCTACCCCACCCCCAGCTGGGATGGGGATGTGACCAGCTCCAGCAGGGCACCCCAAGTGCACACAGCACCCACGCGCAGTGCAGCCTTCGGCCCCCCATTTGGGCTCCATCAGGGTCCAGGCTCCCCTCCCCTGGCCCCTGGGCGCAGCAGGGTGAGGCCGTGGGAAGAGAGCCGCACCTTCAGGTGGGTCCTGGCCCCCATGATGCCCCCCGGGCATTTTTCTAACCTGCTCCCAAAACATCACCAGCTAAGGCTTTTGTGAGGGGTCCAGACTGAATTCAGGAGTGGTGGTGGCAGTCACAGCCTTGAAACAGGGCAGCGACACCCCCATTTCTTCCCAGGAGCCGCCAGGAGAATGAGGCTCTGCCAAAGTGGGAGGTGGGAGAACCCATTCCTGGGGCTGACATGCCAGGCAGCCGGCAGAGGGGCTGGGGTGTCCCTGGACAGGGGCCCCTGCACTGGGCAGCTCAGAGCTAGGAGTGGCTCAGTCCTGCCCCCACCAAGCAGCCCAGCTGTTCCCTGCAAGCCGGGAGGGGCTCAGCAGGAGGACCACCGGCCCCTCCACTGCACTCTGGAGCCATCAGCAGAGCTCTAGGTGGGCGAGACTGGCCAGCCTAGCAAAGTGGAGGGGCCTGGGCGACGCCTACCTTGGAAGAAGCTCCTCACCCTGAAGTAGCTGACACTGAGGCGCAGGACGGAGAGCTTGTCCAGCTTGGAGATGACGTCGGGGGGGAAGGGCAGCAGGCTGGCCAAGTGGTCCAGCTCGGCATTGAGACGGTCCCGGTGGCGCTTGGAAGGGTTGGACTTCTCAGCCCCCACGGCAGGCCTCCTGCGGGGAGCGACCCTCACTCAGCACGGCCGCCCCACCCACCAAGCCCGACTGGGGCCACCTCTGGGAAACCCCCCGAGGCTGCCCACACCCAGACGGAACCTGGACATCGTGGCTACGTGGGGGGTGCAGAGAGATGCAGCCCGTGTCCAAGGGCCTCCACCCCAGCCCCCACGTCCGCTGCAGTGGGAGGACCCACCCCCACCCCCGACATGCGCACATGTGGGTGCACGTGACCACAAAGCTGGGGGGCCTGGCACAGGGGGCCTGGTCTTGTAACGGTGGCTGAAGCCATAAGACTGTCACAGGTGGTGACCCCTGGGGGGGGTTGCTGGTGAGGGGAGCGCCCCAGGGAAAATGATAAAAAGTATTGCATTGGTGGGGGAGGGGCCGATAAGTAATATAAGGGCCTGCAGAAGGGGCACAGATTCCTTTACTCTTCGGGATTCGGCATTTTTGGGTCATCAGCGACTCTGGCCCCCACGGATCTCCCAGAGGCTGGCGTGGGCTCTGCGGGGCGGAAGAGGCTCCGGCCGCCAGCCCCGGGGAGGGAAAGTTCCGGGCTCTGCAAGCCGCCGAGCGACTGACGCTGCCCCGGGTTCTGCTGCTGTGGCAGCCTGGCGGGGGGAGCCCCTGGCGGGGCCTCGCTGAGCCGTGCGTGGGGCCGTCTGTGGGTGGCTTGGCCCCTGCGGCCACTGTCCTGAGTGTCCCTCGTCAGTGGTGCGGGGCGCCCATGCAGCTCTGGGCATCTCCTGTTGTGTCGTGTATTGTCTCATGAGCTGTAATCCGGCTATGCGCATCCTCAGTGGTGGGAAGGCGCCATCTTAGCTGCTTTGGTTTAGGATCGAAAAACATTGGGCACAGCTTCGGGTGAGGTAAACGGCCATTTTTTGGCCTCGATAACTCTTTGTTTTTCCCTGCTTTGTTAAATAAATCCCATTGTTGTTGTTCCCTGAGCCTGAGAGATCTTGGCAATTGTGCGTGGGTGAAAAGCTCACACAGTGACTGGTAAACTATTTGGGCATGTCCTTGGCCAGTTTAGTGCCCCTTGTGCCCAGTATCAGTCCTGGCACGGGAGTCCTGGGTGTGGCATGGAGGCCTGGCCCCGGGGCCCTGGCCTGGGCGTCCTGGCACCGGAGTGGCCAGTGGTCTGCTCTGCAGCCGGCTGCTCCCATGAGTCAGTGCGCTGACCAGGCCCCACACTGCCGCTCTGCAGGGAGCCCTCCTGGGCTGAGAGCCGCTTCTCTCTTCCACTGAGATCCGGCAGGGACGTGGCCCTAACTGCCCCGACCTGCACACGCAGTGCCCGGTGCCAGGGTGACAGCGGTGCCACAGCCAAGACGCTGCACTTCCCCACGCTGGCTCCGCCCATGGCCGCCACCTGCGCCTAGCCCACCCCCCTGAGCCACCCCGCCCCCCGCCGCCTGTGTCCCTGGCCCTGGGAGGAGCAGGTCCCCCCATGCAGCGTTCGTGATGCCGGCGGACACACAGGTCAGTTCCCAGGCTCGTGCCTGGAGACCTGCAACCGTCTCGGCTCCTGCATGGAGTCCCCGGACACCTGGCGCACGCAGCCCTGTAGGAGAGGACCCGAGCGGGTGCCAATTCCATATCCGCAGGTGCGGGCACGGCCCAGACTGGCCGCCAGGCCCCAGGAACGCCACCGAAACCCAGAGACCTCTCTGCGGACAGTGACAGCTGATTCCCACACCCACGCAGTCACGGGGGGCCCAGCACTGCCCTTCGGAGACAGCCAAGGTCACGAGTGCAGCTGCTCCAAGCCCCGCTAAGCTAGCACCTCCGATGGCCTGTGTGAGGGGAGAGGCGGGCGCAGCCCAGGGCAGGGAAGGGCACAGGAGGCACTCCCCGCCTGGGAGGGAAGAGTGACGCCCGGGGACGCCCCCACAGAGGCGCAGCAGGGCCCAGCCTCGCCCCTTGTCAGCAGGGACATGTTACCACACTGACAGGCGCCCTGGGGCTGAACGGGCAGAACTGGCAGGTGGACCCTCCAGGAGTGAGCGCACCTGCTGGGATGCGGGGCCTGCACCCCAGGGGCTCATGGGGACCCCGCAGCTGCATCTCTGTGAGGGCCGCACTGGGGCAGCCCTGGTGTCTACCTGCAGGTGATATCCGCCAGACACTGGGCACACTTGATGCATCAGGTGGGTGGTGAGAGCAAGAAGACCCAGAGAGTGCAGGCCCGGGCGGGCCAAAGGCAGCTCTGCCCCAGGGACAGCACAGTGGCAGGGGGACACATCAGCGGGGGATGGAGGGTGAGGCTGGGGGGGCGGGGGACAAAGTGGCTGGGGTTGTGTCTGTCTGGATTTTGGCCCTGCTCGCTAGGGTCATCTGTGTAGGGGGTGCCCTTCAGCTACACCCCAAGGATAGCGGCACGTGCAGACCCCTGCAGCAGGGACTCCCACAGGCTGCAGGACCTGTGTGCAGAGACAGGCTTGCGCCTGGACACATCTCGCTGGTGTGTGGCGGCCCGGTCCCCACGCAGAGGCCCAGGTCCACAGGCGGCAGAGGGCGGGAGTGGGGTGACCCTCCCGGCCTCAGGGGAACTCCGCCTCCTTGCTCAGAGAGGCCTGCAGCCCGAGGGTCCTCGCTCAGAGACGGGGAGTGGCTGGGGCATCCTCCGCACGTCCGAGGGGATGGTCCCTGGTCAGCCCCGCCTTCCCACGCAGCTGGAGCGCACCCAGGGGACCAGCCACCCCAAGTGAGGGGTGGGCTTCCCTGCGGCTCTAAAGGCTTGCCCCAAGTCACCCCGGCCCTCCCTCCAGCTGTCACTTGGCTCTCTGGGCTCCTAATTTCATTTTTTCAGGGGAAACGTGAAGACCCACCCTTCTGCGCGTGCCCAGGCAGGCATTACCGTTTCTGCACTGGCTTCCTCCTCTTCCGGCCGGCATAGGTACACTCACCCGGCGGGATCATGGCCCTGCACCTGCGGGTGAGAGGGGAGTTGGTGCAGCTGGCACAGGACTCCCGGGTGGAGAGGCAGTGTCCAGCGGCTCTGCGGGGACGCTGGGAGGCAGCCTGGCTCCCGCGGTTGGTGAGCCTGCTGGGGACAGAAGCTGCGCAGGCTGGTGGGCAGCGCCAACCCCCGAGGCAGCACCTGGGCACCCGCCCTCCCATGCTACTTCCCTCCTCCCATCCCGGCTTCTGGGCCATGGCTTCCACTGTGGCCACGACTCAGCCACGAGCCCGCTGACCACTGTGCAGGCCCCGGGCTTGTCACCCCGTCCCTACTCTGGGGCCTAAAGGCCCTGAGCCCTTGGCCTCGTGCGGCAGGCACAGGCAGTGATCCGAGCGCCTGGCGTGTGCCAGAGGGGAGGCGGCCAGAGCTCACCAGCCAGGAGCAGGGACCGCACAGGGCCGTTGTGCGGAGCGTCCACGCCGCCACCCCCAGCGTGCAGGCGAGACGTGGATGACAGGTGGACAGGAAAAGACGCAGCTTCCTTTTCCTTTTGACTTTTGCGTTTTAAAAGCACAATTTGATTAGGGAAAGGAGAGGAGCGGACCCCGCCGGCAGTGCGCGGGAGGGCGGCTCCTCCTTCCTCCGACAGGAACAGGAGTCGCGGTGAGCGGTCAAAGTCTGGCGCCAGGGACAGAGGGACGTCAGGTCACGAAGATGGACCGATCGCCCCGAAGACATGGCCCTCACGTGCACCGACCACCGAGCCCCAAAGACGTGGCTGCAGCAGGGAGACCCGGCAGCCGGCCCCGCGCCTCAGCGCTTCCCCACGCGCCCGACGCACCAGCAGCCGCAGACCCGGCGCCCACACAGCAACCCCCCTGCGGCGGGAAAGCCCGGGTGCTTGGAAAGCGGCCCGCGCGTGAGGCCGCGGTCAGAGCGTCGTAGCCACGTTGGAAGGCGCCTGAGCTGCATGGAGAGAGCGGTGCCCGCGGGCCGGCAGGGCGGGGGCCGGCAGGGCGGGCGCCACCAGGGGCCAGGCAGCCAGTGAGGAAGCGAAGCTTCCACTTCAACAATTTATCAACAGGTAAGATAAATCCAAATCAAGCACAAGGACGGAAATAACGAAGCGGGAAAGTGTATGAAACCCCAACAGAACAAAGTGAGAAATCAATGAAGCCAAAAGCTGGTTCTTTGAAAAGATGGACAAGATGAACTGGCCGCTAGCTGGACTGGGGGAGACAGGACAGACACGGGGGGCGCTTGGGCAGGAGAAGGTCCCCAGGCAGACCCTGGGGGGACAGAGGCCCCCCCACCCGTCACCCCACTGCTCACCCTGCCCGGCGCCCCTGCCCGCCTGCCGCGCTGGGGAATGAACGCCTGGGGGCGCCTCCGACCCCGAGGGCCCTGGCCCGAGCACAGGAGGGGGCAGGGGGAGGAGCACACCTGTCGCACTTGCCAGCCCCAAAGGCAGCCCCTCTGGACGTGGGACCCCAGCCGGGGCGCCAGCGTCGGGGCCCGAGCCCGCCTGTGGCAGCCCAAGCCGACGTCTGTAACAAGCGCTGTCCCCACAAATCTCTACAGCTGGGGAAACGGAGCAGCTCCCCCAGAGACAGACGATGGGGGTCCCATGCCCCGGCCAGGCCTGTCCCCGCCACAGCCAAACACGGAGCCGTGTTCGCCGGCCGGGCCGAGTCCTGCCGCCGAGGAAGCCGGCCGTGCTCTGCACCCACCAGCAGAGACAGAAAGCTCCCCCTCGTCGGTCAGCGCAGCGCAGGCCTGGCGCTGGGCCCCAAGAGCCTCAGGAAGCGACCACCGACACGAGCCCTGGACACACGCGCCCTCCGTTATACGTCAGCCAACGGGCTCCAGCGCGGGGCGGCCGTCCAGCACTTCCAAGGGCCAGGCTGCTGGCCACGGCCGTCCGCCGACTTGGGGCTGCGTTCGGAGGGGACGGCCATCCCGATGGGAAAGCGCCCACAGATCCAGCGAGGGGCCCTCGCCGACAAAGGGCAGTGCCCCACGGGCAGCGGGCACCTGCAGGGAGGTTGGGGCCAGGCCGGCGTCCCTCCCGCTGGGCATCGACCGCACGCGCCAGGAGAGGGGACGCGTCATCGTGGGGGAGGCAGACGGGAGGCTTGGCCACCCGCAGAGGACAGGGCCAGGAAGGACCCGGACATAGACAGCGATCAGCGACCAGTCACCCGTCTAGGCCAGGCCCGGGGAAAGGAAGCAAAACCAGCAGCATTTCTGCAGTCCGGCACGAGCGGCGGGCGTGGGCCAAGGCAGGGCGGCGAGGGCAGCAGGCGGACCCTGCTGGGCCCGAGCAGGACAGCAGGGGCAGCTCGGCACTTCTGGAGCACCAGGTGAGTCCTCCCACGTGGCCTCCTGCCCACTCTCTGCTTCGACAGAGGGGCTGCCTCCGAGGCGCCGCTCCCCGTGGGCACAGGGCCGCCCGGCAGCCACGACTGTGGGCCCAGAGCAGGAATTCTCGCCCCGGAGACACTGTCCTGGGAGGCGGCCCTGAGGTGTCGCGCGCTGGTGGGGGCGGGGAGGGGGGGCGGGCAGAGGCGCGGGCGACCTGCAGGGCACAGCAGAGCCAGCAGCCCCCGAGGGCAGGTGTGCACAGGGGCTTCCTTGTACCCACGTCCTCAACAGACAGTGGTCCCAAGTGCCGTGGGGGTCACGCAGGGCGGGGTCATGCAGGTGAGGGGGCCTGAGGCCTGCGGTGCCATCTCCACCTCCAGGCCCCCTGCCCAGCGGCCGGCGGGCCCCTGAGCGCCGCCTCTGTCTCCTCTTTAGTTAGAAGCTGTCACCAGCACGGGGGGGGGGGGGCGCAAGAGTAAGGCAAGTCGCCTGGCGGGGGCTCTTCCTTCCTCCCACTCCTGCTCGCCATGGAGAGACCAGCAGCTCAGGGAATGCTGCACCGTCCGGGCCTGAACCGCGCCTTCTCCAGTGAGGCTCCGGGGCACGCGCCCCTCCTGTGCGGGGCTCCACGGCTGCAGATTGTGCTGCTGCGCCTGCTGGTCTCTCCAGTCAAGCAAAGCATGAAGTCAAGAATACAGACGAGTTTGAAGCTGGCTGCGTCAGCCAAGGCCCTGAGACTCTTATTTAACGCGTGAACGTTTATGCTGTTTTCCAAGTCACCAATAAAAAACTTCATTTTAAATACAAATCAAACAAAACGTTTCTCTTCATCATAGCCTTTATCACTCTATTCCATTTTATAATTAATTTAGACTTCTCTTTCTTACATCACATAATTTCTACATATTACTTTCCTTCTTCTGGAATCTTTTCTGATTTCTAAGTCCATTGTAGAGAGAAAAAGGCGCCACGCAATCCAGGGAGCAGGGTGAAGAGTGGGGTTCAAGTGAAGCTGGGTCGGTCTGGGTGGATGAATCCCTCCACTTTTGTAAAAGATTTGAAATTTCCCATAATAAAGTTTTATTCATTTTTTTTTAAGCACTAAAGGGAGAAAATGTGGCATGAGAACAGACACTGCTGCCAAGGGAGTGGGTTTTTTTTTTAGATTTATTTTTATTTATACAAGAACTGGGGTGCCAGAGGCACGGGAGGTTGAGAGGATTCACCAGAGACAGAGCAGGTAGACAGACCAAGGACACTGCTGAGGGGAGCAGTGGGGAGACAGGAGAGGTCTGCTACGCCATGTGGGATTCTCGCCTGCTAGCCGGGAATCGAGCCCGCGCTGCAGAGGCCGCAGACGGCTTCACAGCACGGCGCTCAACCCGCTGCACCACCAGGGAGGCCCTGCAGTCAAGGCATAGTCTCCCCAGCAAACACAGTGAAGACGGGGCTCGACCCTGCTCACACCACACTTCCCAACTGAGCCAAAGGGCTTCCCTGAGGCCTGGGGTCAGTCTCTGGCTGTCACCACCGTGGCCTGGGTTCGATCCCCGGCCAGGGGCTGACCCACAGGGCGCAGCAGATCGCTCCTGTCTCCCCGCTGCTCCCCTCAGCAGTGTATTTCAGTAGATCTGCCTGTTCTGCTCCCCACTCTGTCTCTGGGGAGTCCTCCCACCCCCGCAACTCTGGCCTGTACCCCAGTTCTTGTGTGCGTCAATTGAAAAAACCCAAAATCTAAAAAAACTGAATGAAAATCAAACTTTCTAAGAAAACAGAGGGCTATCCCTTCATGTCACCAAAAACTCAAGAAAAGAAAAACAAGATGTGGTTGGACTTTATTAAAATTAAAGACTTGGGCCTCCCTGGTGGCGCAGGTGGTTGAGCATGGCGCTGTGAGGCTGTCCGCAGCCTCTGCAATGCCGGTTCGGTCCTCGCCAGCCTCGGAGCGACCCACATGGCAGGCAGACCTCTCCTGTCTCACCCGCTGCTCCCCTCAGCAGTGTGCTTCGTCAGTCTGCCTGTTCTGCTCCCCACTCTGGCTCTGGTGAATCCTCCCCCGCTCCCGGGCACACAGGGGCACACAGGGGCACACAGCGGACACACAGGGGCACACAGGGGCACACAGGGGCACACAGCGGACACACAGGGGCACACTGGGGCACACAGCGGGCACACAAGGGCACACAGCAGGCACACAGGGGCACACAGGGGCACACGGGGCCACACGGGGGCACACAGCGGGCACACTGGGGCACACAGCGGGCACACGGGGGCACACAGGGGCACACAGCGGGCACACGGGGGCACACAGGGGTACACAGGGGCACACGGGGGCACACAGCGGGCACACGGGGGCACACAGGGGTACACAGGGGCACACGGGGGCACACAGGGGTACACAGGGGCACACAGGGGCACACAGGGGGCACACGGGGGCACACAGGGGCACACAGCGACACACGGGGCACACGGGGGCACACGGGGGCACACGGGGGCACACAGGGCACACAGCGGGCACACGGGGGTACACAGGGGGCAACAGCGGGCCACACGGGGCACACGGGGCACACAGCGGCCACACGGGGGTACACAGGGGCACACAGCGGGCACACGGGGGCACACAGGGGTACACAGGGCACACAGGGCACACGGGGGCACACAGCGTCCGAGCCGCGAGGACGGCCGCCCCGAGGCCACTTCACACCACCGGCCAGAGTCCGTCGGGGCAGCCCGCGGGCAGGCGGGGAGCTGGCGGGCCGCTGGGGCCGCCGCCATGTCCTCCGAGGGGAGCCCGCGACCGCGACGGCGGCCCGCCGAGGAGCGCCCGGAGCGCGAACGAACCGGCCCAGCGGAAGCCGCGCAAACGCCCAGCGTCGCACGTGGGCGCCCGCGGACGGGACGCGGCGTCGAGGGACCGCGTGCTGCGGGCCAGCGCGGGGCGGCGGGTTACCCAGCGGCGGCGGGGCCAGGGCGGG